GGCAATACTGACGAAACTACTCGGAAAAAGATGAACATAGCCAATATCCACATTTGTTTCATCGTGTGTATCGTCCATTTAAACCCACTAGCAAAATAATCTGGAAATTTTGTTTTCTACAACCAACACACTATCAGAATTTGATTCGTTTTATCTGTCCAGAAAAACACGTCTGAAATGGTCTGATTATACCAGTTTGGAATCTTTCCAGGAAAATATCACTATAGTATTTTAGATTAACGTTTCGAGTTATCTGTATCAACGACTACTACCTACTCAATTTGGACTGGAATGATTGGACATCATAGTTTACGTCAAAGGCATATCTCGAGGTTCATACTAAACATACAATATGCAATCGTGATAATAAGACATATGTACTTCTCAAACCACTGGTTTGAATAAATACTCTTGACAAACATAAGCATATATTAATATTTGTAAGTTACGAAACTGCAAGGCAAGACCACTGATACATATGACAAAGTGATGGGTGTTGTGTGGTCTCAACCTAGTCTAAGATCTGTAAGCCTCCACTCTCGTTGACCTGCATGCTGGACAATTTAGCGTAGGACCACTGAGGTTTCACTGGCCATACAGTATTTATTCACAAATGAATGTTATTATGAAATGTATAGATGGACTTAAATGATTCAAAAATGTTGTTTTCATTGGTTTTCTCATATTCATGGAGATCGAAATATAGAGAAAGACAAGAAATGTATGTGTCAATTTTGAGCTTAAAAATGACTAACAGAAATTATATGAGTGATCTAGGGTATTTCAGTTACTGGTAAATACTTCCAAATGCCTAATGATGCTTAGGTGATGCCAAGGTACAGTTACATACACGTGGGTGATGTTGCGATATATGTTGTCCATATACATGATGACTTTGGAGTTATGGTTGACCAAGACTTGAATGCAGTGTACACTGCATTGTGATATCTCCCAAGACATTATGAATCTTTTGACCAATACATAGAGCGTTTAACCATGTCAATATGAGGGCGTTTTGATATTGTTTGTAGTGTTTACTCATCATAGAGCCGATTATTGAATACGAGAAGAATGTTCCTGTCTAGAAATGACAGTGAAAATACCACAGGTATTTGGGGTTTGACAACGCTTTAACCAATAACACCTAATATGAATCAAACCCACTAAGTGAAATGAAAAAATGAAGCGAGGACGTTCGAAGATACATTTGATAGGCTATCAATAAATCGAAGATCGTCTGATCTAATCTGGCTAGGTATTGGCAGACATGTTGAGCACGGCGTTCTCACACGTGATCTGGTGCGGATGCATGACCAAGCGCCTTCAGCTAGGTAAGCGCATTGAAGAATTACAGAGCTTTTGATTTTGGAGGATTATTTACCGCTACAATAGTAAATTGTTGGAAAGGGCTCAAGGGTACTCAACTAATTTGATTTCTGGAATAATGAAGCTGCTGTACACACGAAAGCTGTTTAAACACAACACAGTACTCTTTGTTATGTAGGGGGACTAGTGGTGTTTGGAAATCAGTTTTTAAATTACCGACGGCTAAGGACCTGAAATAAACCCGCCTCTCTTTTTTTAAAACAAAACATTTAGAAAAACACTCTTAAAAATCAAAAGCTTAGAAGGGATTACTTATGAGCCGATTTATTTCATTTTTATTTTGGACTTTATACAATCTTTTTGTTTGACACATATGAACATTAATTACTGTCGTTATGATGTTTCAGCGAATATTCGAACGCATAAGACTTTACGTGTCAAAATGTGTTTCAAAACGCTTGAAATCTCACACGATCAACTTTTTTTTCGATTATTGGATTGTCTTAACACCATGCTCTTATTATTGTTAATTGTTGTCTGTTGTCTTTGTTACAGATGTTGATGATTTTTTGGACTTAATTGCACTTACGTGTAGAATTTCCCTAAAAACCAGTAAAGTTTTTGGGTTTTATGGCAAAAACGTTAATATCTTTCTCGAATTTGTTGAAATAACTGGGTAAATATGGAGGAAAAACTCGAACTTTTACATTTGAAAGGGATTTTTTTGGTTTTTGAACAATTTTTTCAAAGTTTCCCCAACATATTCTATAAAGACTTCTTTTTATAACGGAAAAAAATATACGTAAAATAGGGCCATCGGATTGCCGAGTCATTGGCTAACTTTTTCTTTTAATTCTTTTTTCTCCCCCTTTTCTCACTCACACTACTCTGTATACTTCATTGGTTCACCAGGGACCTTTCGGTTTGTCGGAAATATAGAGATGAAAAAGAAGTTGTATTAGAAAATCATGGGTCAATCTACTGGTTGCTTCATTATTTTAATTTATAGAGTGCAGTTATTTGGACGTTGTAATTCACTCTTTCGGTAATATCAGTCATTTGGTCGAGATCCATGCTACAAAGGTGGTTGGTAGCTACTGAATCGCCTTGAATATCATTCAATTTTTTTAAGATATATTATGCCTTAGGGTTGTATCGTCTTTGAAGTAGAGAAATTAATGCTATTTCGAAAAGGCTAATCGAATGTACTTCTATTCGTAGTAATGTGATGTGTATATTATTTTTTGGCACCATCGCACGTCTAGATACACGCGGTATAAATACCGATTGGTCAAAAATCTGAAACATTCAAGCATATCCTCTTTTGAATTACACAGACATTAAACTGTTTATGTCTAAAACTCGTCCTTCCAAATATTGAATGACTCAAAATTTGTTAATTTTATTTTATTGTGCATTCGTCAAGCATTTTAAAAGTAATTATTTCTGCCTAGTTTTGTTTGATAGGGTTAAATATACAATTCAGTTCATTCAGTTTAAGTAATTTAGTTTTCAAACTAGTACATCTTAATTCACTTTGTTTCAGTAATGGAAGTTATGTAATCTATAGGTAAATTATTGAGTTATTTGTCAATAGTATTGTATCATGGTAATTACAATGACATAATCCTCTTACTCGGTAACATTATAAGATGTTATGGGTCTTGATAATAGTTGCAAAACCCTTAGTTGGCTATTGAGTTGTGTCGTGTTTCTGCGTGTCGCTCTTACTGCACTCACTTGAAAGTATTATACTGAATTTACGTTTGCGTATCCAGTTACGTACGAAACAATCAATCTTTTTTTACGTAAACATAACAATTTGGTCTGGTTCTTATAGTTTTTACCGATGAGACTGTTACCACTTGTTGGAGTTGAACGTTTCAGTCTCAGATATCTTGATGAAAAAAGTGAAATCCTATTATTTGTTTAACTGTCGCTTGAAAGTTTTAATCATGGCCTTGAGGAATGTTTGGTCCCTGAGTCATAAATCTTTTAAAACATAATCAGTTTGTCTAGGCACATCATTTGTACAAACATGATAGTTTGATCAGCAACATACAAAAGACTATAAAGTTTACTTTGTGTCAAGTTGTTTGACAATAAATATAATAATGTTTTTAATACTAGTGCAGACAGATATAAGTAGCATGTGTTAAAATCAAAAGAATCTTCTACGAACAGAAAAGGAGAATGAAGAGAGGAAAATGAAAAATAGAAATCAATCAAAATAACAACAGTGACAAAATTACGAAGAAGTTTGTAGCGGACGATTCTAAAAAAATAGGCAAATAGCGTACTTATTGTATTGCTTTTAAGTTTTGCAGATAAAATGTATACAATAAATCGGTTTGCACAGTCAAGTCTTCGTTAATTACTACGTGATATTTGTCAGAACTTATCGTGTAATTATAGTAAAAAGTCTTTTTACTTTATTGTACTCACTTGGCGAGAAGTATTGTGTGATATATCATCCAGTCATTGCTTCTCTCCTAAATTTATCGGTTCTCTAAATCAACAAACAACACTATTACAAACAACGGATCTGTTGATTTTCGACAGCAGGCGGTGCATGTTGCAAAGCCCACAACATTTAGCAGGTTGTGGTTGTCTTTAGGTTTCAAAGGACAACAAGAGTAAGAACTAGTCTAAAAAACTATGGTCATCACTTTAATTCAGTAGGTCTAAGGTTTTGGATGTTTAGTAACCCGTAATTAATATCATATCTAGTTAGCACTTAAGTTTTTACTGACTAATATCTGCTACATAAAACTAAGAAACTTTAGTGTTCCGAGATATAACAAAGGGATACTATAGTGCAAGGAAAACTGATGGGGATAACCAGTTTGTTTTTCGAAGCGCAACTACTATGCTCTTTAGAAAAATACAAAAAACACGCATTAAATATATAGTTTGTACATCTTTCACCAATTTTCCTTTACAAGCTTTGTGATTCCTTCACTTCTGCTATCACAATCGCCTTCTGTTTGCATTTTTGTTCTCAAATAAATCTTTTTAATCTTCTGCTGCCATGCATTCCACTTCTTACTAGCGCTACATTCTACTTATACCTGTCAATATAAGTAACATACACCACGATACCACATACAATGAGCAACTATCAGTTTATATTTTCATTCGTTATTCTGAGCTGTCGAACAATAGCAACATATTGTCAGAACCAAATAAGTCTATATAAATTCTAGGTTTATTTGTTTAAGGCTATTTAAGACTTCACAAACGTCGCAGTTTGCTTTACATCATGTTGAACCTAATAGTTTCATATTAAGTATTTGCTCACTTCCGTGAGCATTGTAAAGTTTACAACATAAAATATATTTTAGGTGCCCAATATATGCGAAATGTGATAAGGTTGTGTGTATGGCCCAAAAAGCTAATTTAAAGATGCCATCTTAATTATCTCGTATAGAATGAGCCGTATTAAACCTCAATATGATATCACGTCCCATCTTTCTTGAAATCTTGGGATTTATGCTGCAGATTAACCAAGTAAATGTGTATTTTGTTTGCTCATCAAAAAGTTTCTTCTCTTTTCATTGTAGGTTCTTAAAATTATTGAGTAGAGATTTATCGGTTCTATTAAAACCTTGTCGACACAATTCTGTTATAGTGTGAACGAAAGTTGGTCAAATGTAGATAATAGTATATAAACTATGGAGAGTTCTACTGCTTTTTCATTATGCGTTATTCTACATGATGCAGTAAAAGAGTTCAAAATATTAGCAAATGTTATTGACATTATGCGGAAAAAGGTCAGATAATGGATCATTTATTAAGTAATCAAATTTAAATTTAGAAACAGAGAACCAATTTAAATTATTCAGAAGCCGAAGAGTTTGTTCTTAAACAAATGAATAAGATACTAGAAAAATACTCGTTTAAATACAGTACCTTGAAGTTAATTATCGAAATTTAGGTGCCAGTTTTCAAGATATGCATATGGAGGTGCTCAAGGAACTACAGAAAAGTTCCAAAATTACAGAGTATCCATCGACTGCAACAGTCGTTGAAGATTCGTTTTTTTCCACAAAATATATGGAGAACTTAATGAAGGAAATGTAGGTATTTATCGTTCTTCGAATGAACAGATTTTGTTTAATTAATGTTCTTGAAAAATTGGCAGAAGAAATTCAAAATACGGGGTCATGTAATTCACTGCAACAATCAGTTGACAAAGAAGAATCAGAATTCAAAGAGATAGAATATATTCTGGAAAGGTAGGTCATAAGTATTTCTTGACAAAAACCAAGCATGAATCAGTTTCCATAAAATCTGCAGCTTTTTTAAATTATTTAGTATGCCTTAGCTGCCATACGAAATACGCTTTATTCGTTTAACTATATTATCACAGTCTTATTTATCGGTTTCCATTTTACAAGACTCGCGTCATTTTATGGCACAGCTTGATTCATTTTCTGAATTGTCAATTCCATTTTATACTGCAATATAACTTTTGTGTTACCAGTACTAAAATATCATTTTGATCATGCGTTAGGAACTTAAGGTACATGTAGTGAGCTATTTGATCAGATTACACGGTTTACATAATAGCAATAAAATGCATGGAAAAACAATTCAAAAAACTAAGAAGTGTTGTGAGAAATAAAAGGTTTCGTTACAATACTACTCAATAATGAGTGGTAATATAGTTGCCAGTTCCTTTTTTAACGAAGGATTGGATAACCTCATATATCTACTTAGAAATAATTCACATAATTCTACATTTTTTAAATTCGAACTAAAAGTGGAAATATACGAAGTTTTGTCTTTCAACGGTAATGCAGTTGCTTTTTCGTAGTTTGAATTTAATAAATCAGTTAGGTGTCTAAACTAACACTGATAATCACACCATTGTGACCTTGTAGTAGACTCTGTAGTAAAATATGTACGGAGATTAATCTCTGAACGAGTTAGCGACCCTAGTGTGCTAGGCTACTTAACATGCATGAGTTTGACTTATGACTATTAGCCTTGAGAGCGAAGTCGTACTGCTGACTGTATAGAGGTGTGACATCAGTAAGGTGTTTCCTTCAGACAACCAGCATAATAGCGATGCTGCCTTCCCACAAGGAGGGGAGGGGTTAGAAAAGGTCGACCCTAAAAATGCACACCTCGCCTTATCCCACGGATATCCGTCTCCGGCGGTAAGGTCTCAACAAGTACGGAGCTAGCACGAAAATCACTCATAAAAAGGTCGTGTGTGACCGACCTCAAGCAGTTGTCCCTTGGGCACTTCAGTCACGCTCTCAGGTCATTAAGACCACCTTGAATCCAATTTCCTTTTCAGGTACCTCCAGAAGAACCCTTTCACGGTATGGGCAACCGGGAAGTGACAACCGCCCTCATACCTCTAACAGCACTCAAGACCACTGTATTCATAATCAACCTCTCTCTTCCATTCCTATTATTCCTCCTACATCGACTTTCAAATCTAAGCTTCCTCTTTTGGTTTCCTCCTCAAGTGTCACCATGGCCCACGATTCTAGTGCGCAAAACACTGTCCCAGGTCTACTGAAACCTCGCTGAATACTACACATTGGAGCCTTCAACATACGCACACTATGTCAAATCGGTCAGCAGGATTCCTTGGTTGAGACTCTAGAATCCCGTACGATTGATGTATGCTGTGTCTCCGAAACACGCATACAGGATCCTATTGTGGTCATTCACTTGACCTCACCTCGGCGAAACGGACAGCCGACGAGATACACTCTTTGTGTATCTGGCAACCCAACGGCTATTTATCGTGGACTGGCAGGTGTAGGCATAGCACTTAGCATGAGGGCGGAACAAGCGCTATTAGAGTGGATCCCCGTTAACAGTCGTCTATGCGCTGTTCGGCTAAACAGCTCCGTAAGAACTCGAAAGGATAAGGACACACGTCGTTACCTTTTCGTCGTTTCTGCCTACGCTCCCACTGACTGCAGCTCGGATGAAGTGAAAGATGAATTTTACAAAAAATGTATATAAGATGTGGCTTAGTTTAAGATATTGACTCAAAATGTTCAAGTGGCCTCGTGTATTCAGTTCAGTACTATCTTTAGGGGATGAACAAACTGCAAGATATCAAAATAGGTAAAAGTGCCAAGCTAATCCAGTACAACTATTTTAAAAGTTCTACGGAAACAGAAATATCTTATCGATCTAATCTCATACAAAACTCACACATCTATACTATTCACTTTTCCTTGGTATTTTAAAGGATCAATTACATCAAATCGACACTATAATTAGAGTAATACTGTTTTATTAATTTGATTTTCAGTTAGTATATTAAAATGCACAGATTATCAAGTAAATTGTGCGTATATAGTACAGCAATAACTGAGATAAAGCTAAAACAAATAAAAATGTTCATGTTAAAAATATCAACTAGTACATCAATATTATATTATGAAGAGAATATAAAAAAGGAGATACACTGTAATAATAACATTTGAACTATCAGTTCAATGCACAATAATAATTTGTAAATGATCAAAAGCTTAGATAATTTAATTTTTGAAAAGACAGATTTACAAGTTAATCTATGTTCTGAAATGTTGATCAAACATCGTTTAATCTGTCATTTATATACTTGATGTACATGCTAAAGAGAAATTAAAATTGACCACTAAACTTTTAATTCACTGATCTGGAATTATTGTACTCTCGATACAACAGTGAAGTTTCAGGACATGATTTCAGTCGAGTTGTGAATAATCTTTACAGATGAATCTCAAACTAGAATGAAACATTCTTGTTTAAGGATTTCCCAGGTTATATTATTATATGATATTCTCTTTCTTTTTACCGATCGAAAGTAAAAAAAAACAATTCACATTTATTGTTTAAAATAGAGAACTTAAAGCTCGTGAGAAAATCAAGGAAATGAAACATAAGATTCAAGAAAAAAATGAAGAAGGTATAAGAATTATTGAACAAGGCAAAGAAACTATAGCATATTTAAAGGATCAAGTTCAAGTAAGTCCTATCTTCAGTCTTTTTTCAAAATTCAATTTTGTAGGTATCTGTTTGAAAAATGCGTTTTTGTAAGAGATTAGAACATATATCGACTTTTTATGTACAATTCTATTGTGTTGTTTTTTTCAAACAATTAGCTTAAAACGATACTGCTACTTCGTAATTTCAGAGAGGTTTTGTGGAGATTGTAGTAATTTAATAATTGAATTCATGAGTCAATTAAAGCTAGACCACCATGGGAAACCTGAATGCACTAGATGGTCGTTTCGAACGCTTAACCTTTAGATCATTGAGTCGGCATCCAACTGATAGGTCTTGAGTTCGAATCTCGCGAGAGGGATCGTAGATACGCACTACTGAGGAGTCCCAGTGCTTCCAGGTTTTCCATGGTTGTCTAGTTTTAATTGACTCATCATAATTTATTGAACCGTTACTAAATATTCAACAATATTAAGATCTAATGGCTACTTACGATAGTTACGAAAACCTTTGTGACAAATTTTATAAGAAACGTAAATTGCAATTTACCTGGTAGAAATTATAGAGTATGGGTTGAGAAATAATATACACGTTCTATCACATTTCAACATAGTGACATAGTAAAAAAAGGATCAACTAAAATTCGATTTATGGCTTATTGTTAATCCGTTTACTTCAGATCACACTGAAATAATAGTCAAACTATTTGTTATCAGTGGTTCGATAATTCTTATGATCAAATAACTTCAACACACAAATGTTCTGTGTTTTTCGAGTCCTTGTGTCATAAAGATAAATAGATTTTATGAACTTCTGCTTAATATAATTTGTTTTGATAGGTGGATAAACATTTCGTGTTCACAATAAGTGGTGCCACTTAGGAAGGATCAAGGAAAGTTTCTCTTTAAGGATCGAAATTTCGTCAGTTGTCGAACCATTAAGATTAATAGGACTTTCAAGATAAATCCATTGGTCACTGGGCTTATCTGATACACTCTGTGTAATTAGACTTGATAGTGACTTATGTTATTCTTGAAAAAAATTGTGTTTTATGAGTAGGACACAATTTTATTTTCAAAAATTATAATTTACTGACTAGTATAGCTATTTCCCTAATTCAATCAGCATGTAACAGCTAATATTTAAACAACAGAAATAGTCAGACTTTAATATCTGTGTCTTTGTTATTGAGAGATTTAGACTTCATAAATAATAAATTCAATCCATTTTGTAACCAACATCTTGCTAATAAATGTTAAGTATAAAACCTAAGCTCATTACTGTTTAACAATAATTTCATCAAGCTGAAAATTAATTATTATGTTACTTATTACAGTCATTAAGTGAACAATTTACAAAACAGGCTTATTATTATTATTATCCTATACCTCAAGGAAATGAAAGCTAAAATAATTATGGAAGAAAAATATGTAACACGTTATTCTGCAGTAAAATTAGAAGAATTCCAAAGTCAATGTGATCAAAAAGAAAATGAAATCAAACATCAAATAGATTTCGTTCAGTCAAATCGTAACACAGAAGAACGAGTTCATGCAGAGATTACATCTTACTTAAATGATCGTATATCATACCTAAGAAAGGTATCTATCAATATATATATATATATATATATATATATATATATATATATATATATATATATATATATATATATATATATATATGTAGTGTATGCAAATGAAACCACTTACTGAATGGAATTCATTTCGATACTAATAAAAAAATTGGATAGTAAATCCAGCTTAAAATACTGTATTTTTCCATTTTGTATGACTCGTCTACCAACAAATTTGTTATATAACCTTTACGAACATATATTTTACTTTTTTATTAAGAAATAGTCAAACTGTTTCATTCATTGTTGCAGTTGAATGATTTATGATAAAATTTTGGAAGGCTATAGCTAGTAGTTATCTTATTAAAATTAAGAGATCACACATTCATAACAGAAATAATAAGTGATTGCATAATTCACCGATATTGCTCGAATCGAAACAAATAAACACTAATAATATTATGTGATGGATAAGTGTATTTGATGACAACTATATTCTCATGAATTGAGAGCCCTTTTGAGCTTTCTTTCGTATTCACAGTTCAGATCAGAAATATTGAATCTTAAAAGCCCATAAAGAACGGAGAAAAATCAGAATTATTTGTATTGTTAATTATTTAGAATGCTTTGAATATATCTCTATATTGTCGATTATCTGTCGAGCATAAGCGATCGTTTTTGCAAAAACTTACTTGTCATTCAGACATCAGTTTCTAAGAACGAATTCATACAGTTAGTTGAAACGTTTTTCCCAGTTCTTTCTGAACACTTGGTACCACATATATCTGTAAATTTAAGCTCGTTTCAAAATGATATTGGAAGGGCATTGATTTAATTTTGAATGGTTTCATAGTTATTTGTTGTCGTATGATGAAATCATTTTATATTCAAGAAAGCTTCTTTTCTATAACATCGCCATTCTTTTATCAGTTTCTCTTGAAATATCACCTCTCTTAAAGAGAAACGAATGAAAAAACAGATTCTTTTGCTGTAATTTAGTTGTTTATGATAATTTCTTCCGTATTTCATAGTGAATGCCTTTGGAGCTGGATATTCCATGAAAGATGTGAAAATTCCAAGTTCTTTTTATTTCGTCTCTTGGGGCCAATATTCTAACTCTGTCGATGAACACTTCGTCTGGTCAAGATAAAAACTATTACATTTTAATTGTTAATACTACGAGTTTAGTTACTCTTTATGGTTTTCATGATAGTTCTATCATTTCTTTATCTTACACAATAGTCTAAAATATTGGACTGATAATCAGATTTCACTATGAACTTAAGGTTTGAATGATGATGTTTAGAATGTCAAAGTTCATGGAAAGAATGACTGATTCCATTGCACTGAATAAAGATATCATTAATATACCTGAATTAGTGTTTCTCGTCGCCGATTTCAGGTTTCAGTCTTGTTTGTTCAAGGTTAGAAATAAGGATATAGTCCAAAATCGAAAAAATCAGAGAACATTAACATGAGATTACTGATGTGGGTATTGTCTTGTTTCTCAAAGAAAGACAGGAATCTACAATACAAATCGGCAAATATATTGAAATATAGTACTTCGTTTCCTTACCATTGATCGATAGACAAGCTAAACTGTGTAACTTACTCAAACACTGCTATATGTAGTTACAAAATATATCGAATTCTTACGAACTATTTGATGAATAGTATCAAATTTTATGAATTGAGAATTTAAACGTTTTCAAATTAGACATTATAGGAGTCTCAAAGTCCAAGACTCTGCTAATAACTCAACTAGTGGAATCTCTTCGATAAATAAGTCATTTTAGGTGAAGTTGGATGGTGTTTGAAATATTGTGGTTGGGTTAATGAAACTTATACTCATAAATCTTTATGTGATTCCCATCAGTCCCGAGGATTTTGGGTGGGTTGACACCACTCAAGAGTCCGAAACTAGAATAAAAAACCAATCCAGTATTTGCTGATTGTAAATGCTTGTCATTCTAAGGTCATTCCGGGATATAGACTGTTATGTTCTACAGTACTCATAAAACCCCTGTAAGAATATAATATAAACAAACCACCGTTAAACCGTCTTAATTTTTGTCACTGAATTCAGTGGTATATGAGTTTATATTATTAATCCAATGATAAACAACTATTTTTTGTCAGCATGAAGAATTCTGGAAAGAGAAGTCCGATAAAGATATTACTCAATTCAAACAAGAGTTAAGTCAGCTCAAAGATAAAAAAGAAAAGAACTTAAGTAAACTTAGTGAGTTATCTTTATTGGTAAGTTCTAAGGTAGTTTTATTAATTTTAGTAATGCTTATCGATTAGTATATCCCATTTGTATGTTTGTAAATTTACATAAAGTACTTCTTGGACTAATATTATGAAGTAATATACATTTTTTACGTAAAGTGATAGGCTACAGTAAGATATTGATTTAATTTATATGGATCAAACACGGATTAGGAAACAATCTAGTTAGTTCCTTTTTATTAGTTGCTTAGATCTGTCTGTTAATGTTTAGGACTGTAAATGACCAGTCCATATTTTGGCATATGTGGATCCTGTGAGGATTGTCTCAGTATTACTATTAAGTCATTATGAGTAATGGTGTACGGTGGGTAGCGGTGGAACCCAGGATGTACGTTTCGTCTTGTTTGAGAATCGTTAGCTGGATGCAGCTGGACCACAGCACTGATGTTCACTCCGAAACTTAAACCCAGTTCCGTTCGCTTCCAATACCATTGTATTATGCATTTAGTTACTGAGCTCAGATAGTCAGCTTCTAGTAGATTTTCTAACCAGAGTACCACTTTTGTTAATGAAAGGATTCAGAAATAGTTCTTGTGATTTAGTTATTTTCTAATTCATTTAATGTCGTTTCGGATTCTCTAGTTTTGGAGTTGGCTTATTATTCATTTGTCAAAAGGCGTAGACAATTTTGTTAGAGATCTCTGGATTAGCTAGTAACATGAATTGTTTTTCAAAAGACCTAGACTAAAGTAGATGGATTTTGTGAAAGACCAACCATATAGCTTTGATATAAGGATCTGATCAACAGTAACATGTGTGAAAATGTTTTTAGTCATGTTTCAGGTATCCTTGATCTCAATTTCAAGTTATTTAACTTATATGGAATATTTGAATACCTAAGAGTTTACAACTTTCTATGATGAGATAGATGTTTTGATAAAAATATATGACTACGTTATCTTGTCCTACTTTCATAGTACAAAGAATATGAAGCCGTAGTTCTGTCTGACCGAATTGAAAAAGAGAAAGCTCGTCAAAGAGAAGAACAAGAAGAGCTAGAATTATTTGCAGCTTGTAAAGTAAGTTTAACAACGTTTATTTTCAACTATTTATATTAATTTATGAAGTTGATGCTACAATTTCACTGTGAATTGTAATAGGTTCTCATGCATGACTGAGGAATAAATCGTATCGTACAGTTTACTTAGAAACTAATGACAATTATATTGTGTATTTCTTCTAAGTAAAAAGTCTTTATATTTGTTTTTAAAATTTAAATTTGTTCGTTGGTTTCTATTAATGATGATAATGTTTTAGCTTATTTCAAATGAATTTAAGTCATCATAGGCTTATTTCCTATTCAATATCATGTTACCCAGTTTGTATGAATATTCACAGACAAACATTAGATAATGTTGTGAAATGTAGTGTATCAATTCAACATTTTGTTATGTATAAAGAAATGAAATTCTTTTTTTGTAATTTCACATGTAGCCACTTTCGAACATCACAGGATCTACTTCATCTAGATACGAATATAAATTATTGATGATATGGATACAAATAAATGGTATTCGTCATTATTAACATTTACACTTCATTTATCGGCGAGACTAATTTATTTACCAGCCAATCAGAAGCCTTTTAGAAGTTTCAAGGTCACGGCACCAACTTCAGTGCTTTATGCTAACCTACAATCGGTTCACATGGGTATTTTATACAAAACGTGATAATTTAGTGGTTATAACGAATAAAACGGCTGGATTGTAATTTGTGGACGAATCAATCAGATATAAGATAACAGATCTCGGATTTTGGCGCGAAAGTCTTTCATCCATTTGGCTAAATAGAGTTTCGGCATTATAGTTTATGTCAGTTAGTGATGAAAACTCTATATATAATTCATAACCAAGGCAAGTTATGACAATAAAAGCACCGGTAACACTGGATTCCGCCAGGTACTATAATATATACGGATGTTTGGAGAGCGTACAGACTTATACATAGGCTTGGTTATGTGCATCGTGTCGTTATCCACAAGTGGCACTTTGTGTACTCAACAACCGGGGTGTACATAAACAATATTGAAGCTATGTGGTCGAGGCTGAAAGAGTTTTTGAGACTTTACCATGGCTCCAGAGGCCAACTATTCTGTAGCCATATGGGTGATTTACTCTACTGCATGTATTACGATTTTAGGACCCCTGAACCTCTTTCTAACCTTGAAAAGATTTTAACCACGTATAAGAAGTGTATCTACTTTATTTCCTTGGTTTTTTATAATATATTTTTTACTCTATACTGACTATTTGGTGATTGGCTAATATTTCCCAAGGTCACTTAAGATTAGTTCAAAGGTCGTCCATAAATTAGGGTCTCGCCGTATTTGAATTATAGTACAAACTAGGAATCATAGAAATAATGAAATTTGAACAAGAAGAACTATATAAGCAAAACGATCATATTGTATTCGGGATTCGAAATCAAGCAGTCATCAAATACAAAGGAATCATTAGTTCATACAAAAGTGCCACAGTTGCCTAACATTGAAAAGCTTTGAAACAATTCATAATGTCCATATGTAAAGTAACTCATTGTTGGGAGGGTTGTTTTCATGTTTACTTCTCAGATAACAAATAGTAAGCTGATGGTAACTGGATATACACCTTATCCCGTGAACAAAGCTTACAGATTTTAGCATCTCATTTCATGTTTCTGTTTTATATGACGTTTTTTTCTTCTATTGTTAATTAAAGTAATTTTATACATCCAAGATGGTAGAAAAATCACTCTTTTGCATAGACCTTTTTATATTAATGTTTCTTCATTTGTTGTATTGGTATGGTAGAACTAATTGTTATTAAGAAATACTGCTAAGTAATTGATAACAGTATAATCGACTGAATAACGTCAGATTTTATGTCCTCACTATCACTCAGTTACGGAATATTGACTTTTCAACACCCATCTGTAAAAATTTATCCATTGTCTTTCTTCATGAATAAACAATTCCATCAATAAATTCTCGAATAGTGCACACTTAAAAAATCAACTAATTATTTATATACTATTTTAATCCAGTGCTTTAAGTATTTACGTTAAGAAGCAATTAACAGTTTCCTCAGGATCTACATTTCTGCTTCTGAAAATTTTCTTAAACAGAAAGCATATATTCACTTAATCAACCAAAAACATGTTATTTCATAAAGTAATTTATAAAAACTAATTCTATGCGAAAGTAATTTATATCACAAGGTAAACATACTGTTGAGAACAGAACATCTGTTAGGAGATCCTTTATTTTTAATTATCGCCAATCGATCCGTGAAAAGAACTATCTTCAGATAACGTTTTATTGTTTTTATCATTGATTTTTAAGATTTTATTTGATACGTCATGAAACTTATAAAAGAAAGATATGAACAGTAGTGTTATCAAGTTGAATTGTATACTAACGTTGAAAGCAAACCGAGAATGTGTTTATTTCACCTGCGAACTGGAATAATGTAAAATACATATAATAATAATCTTTTGAATGTGATTTTTATATTTCTCTCTTACGGTTATGACCCAGCTATTCCTATTGCTTAGTATTCTCGGAGACCAATTCACTCGACAAGTCCCCAAATCAGAACACGGTTGAACAGGAAAGAGATTATATTCCAAACAACAAGGGGTAGATGAAGTAAGAAGCACAATAGGAAAAACGTTAGTATATTTATAGTTTTTACATGAGAAGATTACAGAGTATTCTCCAAGCATGATTTAATCCAGTCTATGTCCCGCTAACAGTGATATAATGTGAGGTTTCATTATTCTCTTTCACTACGAATCAGATTTAATTTAACAATACTATGTAATTCAAAGTATAAAACTGTTTTTATCAAATGGAATCATTGAATATTTTCTATGCTCAAATTTTTTAATAACAAAATTGTTATCCCAAATAACGTACGTGACTTACATTTAATTATTCCAAATTACAGCTTCATGAAATATGTGTCATAATACTTATAATTGATTCCATTGCTAGTGAAGATGTATATAATACCTTTAGAAATAAAGAGTTCAAAATTATTAATACCTTGTTATCTCAATACACTCAAAAGAATAACATCAGCTATATCACGGTAACATTCTATTTTAAGTTATGGAAAAAATGTATTTTATTAAGTTATAACAATAAGCAAAAACTATTTAATGGTTAGCTTTAACGTTCAAAATATCAATCTTCTTATATGACTAGGATTGTTCTTAAGAATTTACTTGAAAGTAAGTAGAAATTATTTAAAAATAGGTCTAGAAGGAAAACATTTAGACTTTAGTGTGCACACTCAAACTGAGTGACAAATTTGTTTGATACTACTCAAAGGATCGTCTTTTGAGTGAACATTGTGAAAACATTTATATATTCAATGAATTTATTTAGTTTTTGTTCAAATCTGGAGTGAAGCAGCGTATATTTACAAAGAATCCAATCAGTGTTTTCCACCAGATAATAATTTTTTATTACGTCTATATAAAGTTTATTTTAATCTTGAAAGTGTTCAGATTATTTTTTGTATTTAAACTAACAACCATTATTTTGCATATAGATTCAAAATTGGTGGCGTACTGTTTGCGTTCAACATAATCTTGGTCCGCATGGGAAAAAGAAGAGAAAAGGAAAAGGCACGAAAACAAAAAAAGGGAAAGGAAAAAAGAAGTAGGACTACATTTCTCGGGATCAAACGGATTCATAGAATTTGTATTCGGTGTGAACATGGTTTTTTCAACCGCTACAATATTATAGTAATAAAAGATAATATGGCTGTGAAACTATATAAATTGATTCTATGAATTCGGACGTTAATTTTACTCTATATAATGCTTTATGTAGGAAATACTAATATATTTCAACAAATTTTCAACATATTTGTTTACATTTTAATTTAAAATTCATTAGTATTGGGTCAAGTAATACAATAAACAGTGCTAACTTTGTGGGAATCATATACATGGTCATACTTATGTAGAATAATTTTTATCCATATTAAATATATTATTCTATCTCCAGTCTAAATATGTACTTCATCATACATTGATGATTGCTACAACAAAATGGGTCAGGGTAGACGGTGGTTTGGCTTACACTTAGGGTCTTATAGATTAGCCAGTAAGTCTATTATTTGAGCAGTGCTAATACCGAAGTGAACCATAATTCTACATAAGTGCGTGTCAAAAAACTTGTGATTGTATAAGCAAGCCAAACGAGACGACAGCAGATTAAATGCAAAATGTTTGGTTTTCTGGAGGTTTGATGAAAAAGATATACACATATGTAATAGCATATTTATAAGGCTCAACTTCTTGAATTTTTAATATTCAGAGCAGTAAAATCTGAATATGCAAAATATTATCTATAGAACACAAAATATCATATATAAAAGAAGTTGTGCCAATAATTATTTCTTATAAATTAGTTCTTCATCAGGGCTCTGTACTAATATAAGGGTTTTAAAATGAATAGAAATTCCATACGAATTAGAACGTAATAAGGAATGAGCCGAGTAAATTTCATGTAAGTTGTGACCGTTTACGTATCCTGGGTGTCTCATATTTTGTACAGAACCCAGTGTTTAAGGCCGACTATCGGGTACTACCGAGGTTGCATCGTGATCGTCAACCATCACGGATCCCATTTCAGCCATGTAGATTTCATAGTGATAAGATAAACTGAGAAGACGTTTCTTCCTAAGAAAGAGAGTTTTAGAAATCCCAGATTGATTTTGTCATTAATTTCGGCTCTGTTAACTGTATAGTACTTATGTTTGAGAAGTAGAGCTTTATAAAATACTTGGTATGTAAACTCAAGGGTTTGTAAGGTGGGTTTGAATAACTGACTGCGTATGTCAGCTAGTTCATGTAAGAGTAAAGATCCACACCTACTGAAAAGGATAAGGGATTCATGAATTGTCGTGGAAAACGAAGCGTCTTGCCTTAGAACGCAGTGCATCCAGTGTCAGAATTCACTGAATTGCGAATATCAAGTAACACGAGTGGAAGAGCGTGAATTAATTGTGATACGTTTGCAGCTGGAAGTGAAGCTTCTGATTATCGGCGAAATCTTATAACCTACACTTCTGCCTGTGGGTGGTAGACGACAATTCGGAACCATGTAGTGCCGGGGAGTGTAGTATAGACAAAAAGTAGTTCTGTGATGAGCTTGACGATCGCTGGAACACATGGATGAAGTCTGTGAAACTCATTGGAGAAATTGCGTCGATAATGTTTCAGCACATTTGAACGGTCCCTGACTGTAGATATGTCACATAGTACGGCTTAAATACCCATCCCCATCTCTAATACTCAATTTCAGGGTTGGAGAAGATAACTCTTACTAAAGATCATTATTTTCTTGTTGAAGCTGGTTGAGTACAAGAAGGTAGGTCCCTTGAAAACCGTTCAGGTAGGTTGCAGGAGACGAGGCGCCTGCAACTAAATTGTTTGCTCCAGAGATGTGTCGTATATCTGAAGTAAACCGCGAAACGCAGTCCAGTTGGCGAGTCTCTTGAGGGAAGTACTTGTCTGAAGATGAGTTTAAAGGGAAGGTAAGTGATTTGTGATCGATGAAAAGAGTGAATTCATTGAGAATCGTCATCAAAGAATCTCTAAAAAGTTTTTACGGCACTTCTTGTGTCGAAGTGCATGAGAAAAATTTCGTATAGTCCGAAGGGAGTGATGATGGCCGCCTTAGGAATGCCGACAATAACCATAGTTGTTCGATTGTACACTTTAACCACATGAGTTTCAGGAAAAATAGTTGTATCTTTCATATCGTGAACGTGAGGCAACAGGTAATGATCAGGAACGGATTTTTCATTCAGTCGCCGATAGTCACCGTTTGGACGCCAATCTTTGCTGTCCTTTTTGGGGACCGTGTATAAGGGAGATACACCTTGGTTGTTTGACGGCACGGTGATATCTAAGTCTATCATGTGATCGAATTCGTTTTCAACTAACCTTCGCCTTTCGGAACCTTGTCGACGTGCTTTCCGGAATACAGTTGGTCCCGTAGTCGTGATTTGATGTCTAACAATTATGGTTACACACGGTAGTTTGGTAGCGTTTCGTATAGTTCGGTGTACTTGTAGAGTATCCGTTGATAGTAAGGATAGATTTTGTGCTTATCTGTGACTTTGGACAATTCACTCCCGGGAAACAAAGTTCCACAAGTTGATAACTTAGTATTTTCGTCTGCTAACCCCCATTTGTACGTGTCGATGAGTGAATCATGATGTTGTAGTAAGTTTAGACCAATGATTGACATAAAGCATGTACAGCAACGAAGATCCTGTGGATGGGTTTGCATAAACATACGTTGAGATAAACATGTCAAACATAACACACGAAAAAATATATACGCACAATGTTGGGACAAGGAACAGACCCGCATCTAATCGTTTCGTGTGTTAAACCATTTTTGATGCGCACCACACCGCGGATATTCAGTGCTTGACAACACTATCGTCCGTGACACTTTTCCAATCGAATATCTCAAATTTAGCCGAACTATAAGCTAAAGATGAAGGGGTTCAGAGCTATATTTGAAAGTTGATCGGTCTGTCCAGAAATAAATAACCTGAGCTGAGTGGTTGTTATGATTGGTGTACAGCATTGAGTACTCGATAGTGATATGGCGATGCTTGACCGAGCGCATTGACCTAGGAGTGAATAATCCTTTTCTATGAGTACTTCTTTGAATAAACGCAAGTAAATAAGAGGCATGTATTTTGGACTTACAAAATTTCAACGCTCGGTGTTATCAGGAAGTGTACTTCGTACTTGAGCACGGAAAGAATTTGAAAGGAACGAATGAACAACTTGATAAAAATAAGATAAACCATTTCCAACCGTTTGCAATGCATGAAAATATGTAATTAATGACATCTGTGTGCAATGCAAAACGTGAGGCCAATAAAAGGTTGTTTTGAACATTCATAGTTACTAGTCCTTCTTAGGTCATGTCCTTGAGAAGGTTACTATTATCACTTAGTAGTTTCGGTTATTTGGATTTCAGCGGTAAGTTGGTAGATAATCGTATCTCACATATGTTGCTTGCCACATATGGCTCTTTCTAGGTGTGTGTGATTCATTCTTCAGTTTATGAATTTCGTACTAGTAGGAAAATTATGCGGAATTTCTTTCTGTCTCAAAAGTCTCCGAATTGTCTACATTTCTTCTAAATTATCGGGTAATTTTTTTTGCTGTACTCTTGATTACACGCTTCGTTGTCAATCTATTGCCTAGCTACAAATTTCTTCCATGATCGCCTTTATTTCCATAATAAATGACTTAACGACTTCAATCGATTACGTTTAAAAACGATACATGGTTAAAGACACTTATTGACTAGAAGAAACACCATATTATACAGGGATATTAGTAACAGATACCCGAGAAACGATCGTTATGTATTTTCATTTTAAGTGCCAAGTCTCAATGTCATTCACGAAGGTCTCTAAAAGAAATTACAGGTATTGGGTTATTAATAATGTGTCGTTATTCATAAGTGCATATGAAATCACACAGGATTTTGCTACATGCACTTCAAGATTTTCACATTGAAGTCCGAAATTCAGCACATGGTGGGATAAAGCTTTAATATTAATTAAGCTAAGCGTAAACAACATCTGAATGATGATTGCAATGAAACTATTATGAACCAAAGTAATCTGCCTGTGAATTCTGAAATCTAATGAACACAAGAATTTACAACGATGTCAAACTTCTGTAGTTTGTTGAACAACTGTCGACCTGAAGTTTAACTTACAGTTATTTTTCCTAATAATGAACAACCTACCTATAGAACAGCAGTGAATAGTTATAACTTCAAATTAGTATATACATGATCTTGTTCTCTTCGATGATACTTTTGTATTCCGTCTCATGTTGTAAAAATACCCTTGCATATCGACGTCGTTCAGTTTTGCAAGTTTTTTCGTTGATGGACGAGGATAGGAAACGAGTTGTTAATGCGCCTAAAGCTTTTAAAGGAAAAGAAGTTCTCACTTTTTATGTATTCGCAAAACGTGCACTTCTCAAGTGCTTTCTTAGATGAAGTGTCAAGTAGAGTAAAATTGCTGGCAGTTTCAGGAGTCATAACGTATGACAAAAAATAACTCAGACGTTTATATATTGTCATCCGTTAACCGGGTCAACATGGCCATCTGCAATACGAACATATGATACAATGAACTTTATAGACTTACAAATTTGTTCCTTATATCTTCTTGCTGAAGACATGCATTCAACGTTCCTAGTTCTTCTTTAGATGAAAAATGGAGCTGCTAACTTGATGGACCGAAACCAAGTTACTGCAGATATTCACGCCCACCAGACTTCGACGTTAGCTGCTTAGTGTTGGCACTCAAGTCTGAAACAGCAGACGATATGTTCTGCAGTACAGCACACGGTCTACCTAATCTTAAGCACTTAACCGCTAGTGCACTGCCCACACTCTACACGTACGTTGAGGGTGACGCACCCAACTGTGTCGAACTTATTTACTAACATTTTTCAAAAAAAAACACACGCCTATTTGGCAACTAGTGAGAAAAAGTATCTAGCAATCAAAATTTACGATATTGAACGTGGCTGTTTCCAGCCTGTATCTCGTTCACAACCATGTCAACGGAATTGTACAGAAACCTTTCCGACTCAATACACCTCTACAAAATATAAATATGATTACTTTACTGACCTTTTTGGCTTCTTTTCGTTTAGTGGCAAGATGTTTTCCGTAAAACTGGTGACACAGTAACCAGTCAAGTTGTTGATTGAAACCAACGGATCCTTTGCAGTCTGGAATTTATCTATAGGAAATGATCGTCTCTATAGCAGTGAATGACCTTTGGACTTTAAGACTAATTTTCACCTGGTTGGGCACTGTTTTGCAGGTGCATATCCACAATGTTCGTAGGATAGAGACAGTTCTTTGTCCACTACTTATCTACAATTAGAACCTGCCTCTTGCTTGGTGCATCGATAAGTACGAACTGCTTAATACTCAGCTAAATAGTATGTAGAAGGTAAGGAAATGGTGTGGAGTAATACCATCGGAAAAGATTTACAAAATATACTCACTTGATCGTATGCAGCGATCGAACAATTGCTGCATTAGTAACACACTTAACGGCAATGCATTTACAGTCAACCCATATGTGCTCGTGACTATTTCGTTAAATTCGATTGGTTTAGTATTCCCTCCGTAAATGCCTATCATGAACACGTCCCTAAACCTAGGGGCAACGATGCATCCTAATATAGACCATAATTGTTGACTATAGCTCCTTGAAATCAAATGTGTCTACAACAATATTTAAGCTCAACGTTTCAAAATCACAAATACTCAACCAAATTTTTTAATCAGAGATGGTAGTAAACACCACTGCTGATGAACTTAAGTTGAACACTTGTACACGTTCGTAGGACACTTCTAGTGCTGCTTGGTAAATCTGGTACGAGATCTCGAAAAACATTTAGGATGCGATCAACATCTCAGATTGTCTGACAGCTATTTTTTATCAAATTTATCAATCCCATATTTATCTGTTCTTCCCGGTTTATGAACTGTGAACGCAAATAAATGTGATTACATCCCACAAGAAATGGCTTAATGATTTCACTTCTTTCACATACCATTATCATTTAGAGGCCTTTTTATTGTTGCGACTATCGGATACTATCACAGTTGGTAGATTTTCATCATATTTATTTATTATGTTTATTTTAACACATAGAGGAGGAGGCACCAAATACATATGCGTCACACATATCTCATTTGATATGAGGACTGTGATACTGCCCAGTTGCCCAAACTGAAGCAGGCGGTTTTCTTAGGGGGCCACATCCTGAGCCTTCGACCTGAAGATCTGATCCACAAAACAGTGGAGCATCGTAAGGAGATGCAGTCCCATGGTAGCCGGTTACCAACGATTGGTTCATACGCCATTTGTTCCTTCAGGATACTGGAGCTCATGTGCATCATTGGTTTGGAATCCAGTTAAAGCACCGGACATTCGCTTCTCGTCCTCTCATTTTCGTAAACAATACCCCCACCACGTGAAGGCAGTGAGTAGGACTTCCCTGGCAGAGGCTATATACGCGTGGCCATGTGAGAGTATTTCGAGAGGAAGAGCGGACTCTCTAAACTCTCGGCCGTACCAGAGCGTTTGGGGGCAGATTTTCATCATAATTAATTTCAGTGTTGACTGCCATTAATGCAAAATAAATCACTGTTAAAGTCAAATACCGTTGATCGTGCTTTCATCGACAAGTTGACTGAACGAAAGCAAGTTACGCTTTTTCATGAAAGTCGTTCTAATTTTATCCCACCTTCGGTTGTATGTCGATCTGTGACAACCAAGAACGATTGACAAGTTCACTTATAACCTCGTCCGTCCTATAACGTGAATTTAATAAAAGTCCGTGAGAATGTTCGTAGACGTAGGGCAACAGTGAACTTGTTAGTCGTCCTTGGTTGTCATAGATAGACATATAGCCTAAGGTGAAATAAAATGCGAATATGGGATTCTGTGACTGTTAATATGGTAGCGTGTTGTGTTCATCTGGCTTTCGAGAGTTAACCGATATATGACTGTCAAAACCTCAATAAGTAAGTTGAGTTTCAAATTTTGAACTCGATGTTTAGAAACTAAAGGTTTTGGTAATTCATCCGTATTTCTAACATGGGGAAACACCGCAGTAAGCCCATAGGTGAAAAAAGGATAGTCACACATTATTTGATTTGTAAAGATTGTTATTGTTATTACTATTAACCATTTATGTCTATTTGATTTCCTTTCTTTCATGTAGATCAATATTCTCATCATATGGTACTTTGGGATATTCGTCCGTCCGTGATGGTATTGCCTAAAAACTAATCCATAAAACCCAATGGCCGACATTAATAAACCGCTTGATGACAATGTTGTCATTTCACGTCGTACGTTGAACACATTTGGTGGCGTGTTTTGCTCTGTAACATTATCTCAGTTCAGTAGTGTGATATTTCTACGTTTAGGTACGTCCAGTGTTTTTCTATAAAAAATTGCTTCGCGCAGGGTTTATTATTGCTCATGCTGGTTTGCTGGAAAGTGTATTACAACTATTTCTATCCTATTTCATCCTGTTGCTGACTGTATTTTCTATATGCGCAATTAGTACAAATGGAGCAGTTGAAGGAGGAGGTGTATATTGTATCCTTTTCTATTGTAATTAGAAGTACTCGTAAGAAAATGAGTCGTTCAATGCTTTTATGCTCCACTATTTATTTTAACTAAGCATTTCAGATTGTTTTTAATTGTAGGAAATCTGATAAGATTTTTTCATTGGTATATGAAAGTACTAATCACATGTTTTTTCACCATTGTACATACATGTATACATGTATCGAAGGTGGCTACAGCTAGACTGAATTGTTAAACAAGTATTTAATATTTATTTCAAATTTGTGGTGATACTGCTTGTAGGAAAAATAGTTTAACTGACTTATTAATTTTCCTGATTACTTCTGAATGAAGTGCTTTTTTAAAAGAGCTTTTAAAGTAAGGTGAACTGTTCTCGTAGGAAGTACTAGTTGTTAACCAATCGATTAGAGTAGTGACACTTTAATCAAATTTCATTTGGTAAAGATTTTTAAAATTATTCATTATGGATCTGGTAGTGCCTACATATAAAGGAAGCAATTAAGTAATTGAATTGAATATGAAACCATTCAGAAGTTTCACTAGTTATGATATATAATGCTGATAATAAATCTGATGTTTTGAAATTAGGTCTAGGGTAACTGCTATGTTATAACAATATCATACCTGAAACTGGAATAATATTGTCATAGTATGTTTTAGCAATTTAGTCTGTGTTCTCGATAATCATATACTCTGGTTGAAATGATTCAGAATGATCATATTAACAGTATTTCCTCTAGTCGTTGACTCTGTGAATCATGAGGTTTCTCGACAATAATACATACATACCATATGTTTACCAGTTTAAAACTTTTCGCATATTGTTTAGCTAGCCACAGACAGTGTGTAGCGACCTGCGTTAACATACTTTATCAATAACAGGTAGAGGAAGAGCAAATAAGTCAAAATCTCAATGCAATTTTCATAGTATAGATCACGAACTGATATTAGTTAAACTATTATTGGAAACCTAGGAGTGCTGAACGGTTTTTGACAGTTCATGGGATAATATTATAAATCTCAGTCTAAACATAGGTAATTAATAAATAAGGATATTGCATTGAGACCGAACAATTGATTCCGACTACTACTCAGGCAACCAGAAAGCTTGCCCCTCCATGAACGCTTCTACTCAATAATGACTTTACTGACTGTTGGGGTTTATTTGTTTAGACACATGTAGCTTTCTACACTGTTTCCACGCCAGCCAGCATTGCTTCGGGGGAGGTTATGGCCCAAAATGTCCCAGATGCACTAACTGATTAAGGTTTTAGGCCTTATCAGCCGATTTACAGCCATAATGGAATACTTTATGATGAAACTGAGTATCGTGTAGAGTTGTATTCGTTCAGTTTACTCAAGCCTTTGTCCGAAGTGAAACAGTTATCACGGTATATATCAATACGTTTTTGTGTTTTCTGAAATTGTTTTCACATATTAACTGTAACCGATTTCCTTGATGAAAAAATCAATTAGTCATGCTTAGTAGGACTTTAGGTCCTGAATTCGGTGGAGCTATCGGGTCGATATTTTTCTTCGCGCAAGTTTGTAGTGCTGCATTGTATATAGCGGGATTAGTGGAAGCTGTGCTCATAAATTTCGGTCCTGGAGGTTAGTTTTCCTAAATATAACTACGAGGCTGTATTTTAAACGTATAAATTATACTTGAACAATCTTCGCAATCAAAATATAAACTTTGTCCGTTGTATTTACTTTTTGCTGATGAGTTTTTGTATGATATTTTCCTAGGACTTGCAATAAAATACTGCAGCTCAGTAACCACCTTCATAGATATATATTCTTTGGTCGATCACACGTGTTATTTGAGCACTTAAGATTTTATTCACTCATTATAACTTTGCAGACAATGTAAGATTTACACTCAGGTTGTGAGAAGTCGGCTATGTTTACCACTAGTCGAAGTCCTTTGTCAGAAACTAAACTCACTGAGGTGTACTCCTAATTAGTCGTAAAGCTACTATTCACCATAATATTTTCTTTCTAATGGTTCATTAGGTAGTGCTCTTTTGGAAATGAAAGATTCTTTAAAATTGTGCTTACAGATAAAGGTTATTTCTGACCCATAGTTTTGTCGTTGGAGGCTCTCAACTTTTCTCGTATAAAATTTCTTTATACTAGGTTATTTCGTTAATCACAAAAAGTGCTCGTTTTTGGTATATTTTCGTATCGGTGATATATTCTGACATAATCACGTTACTTGTTACTGTGATAGCAGCGAAACAAAAATCATCCATTGTACTAAGCTCTTGTTACTCCTGATATCAGCCTTCACGATGCGCAACTGAAACTGTTCATCGAGTCACTGGAAAAAAATAATGATAGACTAGTTTTAAAATACGATTTGAACTTCAGCTGTAGGAATTGTATTACATGCGCCGTAATTCTGGGTCAGAAATATTGGTGATACTTAACATTTAACATTTTGGTCTGTACTAGTTTCATATTTTTGTTTCTGTTTATTCTTTTTCTGAGGTATTTTATTCGATGGAGTACTACCTGGTGAAAATCACTGGTGGAGTTACCTGTATGCCATAGTTATTCTTGCACTTTGTATGTCTATCCTATTAATTGGTAGTCAAATGTTTGCTCGTGCTCTGTACTTTATTCTTGCTGTAAGTTTAGTTAAACTGACATTATGCTCGAAATAATGTGTGGTAATTTGTATAGAATCCTAAATACATCTAGTGCTTAGAACAATCATCCTCGTATAACTATTAATTATATTATTTATTTGTATTTTTGATGGAATGGTGCAGCGAAGTGCAGGTAATATATTGAAAATGTATACAAATTTGGTTAAACTAGCAGTATCATACATACCTTTTGCATTTCTAATTACACAACAGTCTTCATTTTAAAGATATTGTTCATTGCAATGTGATACCGACTAAGTAAGCAATAAAAAAACCAGGAGAAACTAAAATATATCATCCTGGTTTAAAGCTCCCTCCTTATGCTCGCGCCTTTGTTCTTCAATTGTTACTGTACATACACATTTTTTCGCCATGAACGAAAATCAGACAAATAACACCCTCAAATACTTTCACAACAATGTAACGTTATTTTTTTCACGGTCTGACGGCAAAATATCACTTAGTTTTTCGTCTAGTTGTTAGTTGACTATCCATTTACATGAAATGAAGCCAAGAATATTTATATCTTCAAGCAATCAACTTTATGAATATATATATCTACAAACAAATATTGATGTAAATCACTATTTGATGGTCGGTTACAGGTTGATATTTTCTTATCAGTTCTTTCTAAACTTTTATATAGTCAGGTATTTAATGGCATTGCTTTCAATTTTAATAATCTTCTCAAGTGTCTTTATTCTATTGAATTGACAGTTCGGCTATAATGTTTTATAAGGTTATTCACTGAATTTTCTATTCATTTTTATCATATATCCTGTAATTGGGGTTAATCTAATTTATCTAAGTCTAAACATAGTATAGTTCTTTAAACCTTACAAATTTCTCAGTGTTACAGTGTTTCTTGTTTGTTTATGTTTTGAGTACTATGGAGTTTATACTTGTAAGAAATGCCAGATTATTACAAAATTGTTTTTGATGCTTATTCTAATGACATTGACTGTTGATAAAAAGAAACTAAACATGGATTACTGTCACTCAGTTGTTTTTTTTTCATAATTCACAAAATGTAATGGTATTAATATCTATATATTTCCTCTTATCAACCGTGTCAAATGTTTGTTTTAGAAAAAAACAGCCAGCCTAAAGATGAAAGATATAGCTTTAAGTGGAATTTGATCATGATGTATCTAGTTGTATTTGTTATTATTTTCCATGAGATGAAAATACCTTATGTTAATTCTATGATTCTAGGTTACTTTTAGATTGTTATCTGTTACGGTATGAGTATCAAATGTCGATTTTTTTCCAGGCAATTCTATGACCGACATATGTAATGCAAGTGAGATAGTCTCCCGGACGCTAAAGTTCTTTTGACCGTTTTTAACATTTATGAGCAGTTATCGAAATGAAAGCTACCGATATTTCATAATCATAATGTACTTAAGCCAATGTCTTCAAAGTGAACTTACCAACTGAATAATAATATCGACTATTCTCACACTTACAGTTTTAAATCTCAGCATTACTTGCATACAGTTGTCACTTAACGCAAACAATCGTATGGAAATGAACATTTTCAATCATGAGTTGCCAAAGAGATGTGATTTCAAAGGACTCATATCTACGCCTTACAAGCTCAACCCTTCGCAACTATTACAATGAGTTTTCCATGAATCAATTTCTCATGATTATGGTTATAAAGATTGCAAGTGAGATAATTTGAAATTGATCACGGTGAAATAATTTCATCCTTTCACATCTTTCTTGGGCTCTTGAATTATTTTACTACGTTTTATGTCAGTGTGACATTTTCCTCATTTGTGAATATGTACCTCAATTTCTTAGTTCTTGATTTTACTACGATTTGTAATCAATACCACTGTATTTTGAAACCACTTAGAGGATCAAATTTACTCAATTATGTTACAAATATCAGCATGAATATTCGTCTAGACAGAATTCTAATAAAAAAGCTACATTTAGTCGGAAAGAATGTAACCTAACAGCTACTTATATACTGATTAAGTAATCCATTAAACACACTTGATGTGTCCCAGTTTGTAATTCTGCATATATGCACAAACCTTTGGTGTTTAAATTCATAGTTCTATGATTTGAACAATTAATGATCAAATTCATATAAATTCAGTTCACTGTAAATATTTTTAAATTCTTTGTAAAGTTAACTGTAGAATATAATGCAGTGATCAATTAAGTTATATTTGTGTAGGTGCGTATTCCTCTATTCTTAGACGTATGGTATGAATAAAGATTTTTTCTAAGGAGAGAAAGGTTGTAATATGAACTTTGTATTATTTCATGAGTACTTGTATTTTGTTCAAATTACTGTTTTTAGTACTGATAATAATAAGTCAACTGTTACCAAATAGTGCATATTTTGTTATTTTTTTGGTGTACTGTTTATATTTTTCTACTTGTAATTTACTATTAAGGCTATTTCATCCTCCCTCTCTATTCCATAGTGTTGTGAATAATAAATAGTTAGTTGATAGTGTTTTTCGGACCTGTTAAATTTAGATGATTTCAAAGGACATTTTTGCAAATACAGATATTATTATCATTACTATTATATTATGAGTATTTTTATTATGTCAATGATCATGTAATGTGTATTGGTAGTTTTAAGTGTACATTTTCTACCGCCCACTAAACTAGCAAGCAGAATATTTAGATTTCAAGTTATTCTCTGTTTTTTTTATAATATTGGTATGGCTTCGTATTCATTTACCCGACCAACTGTTGTTCTTCAGTTGTGATGGTCAGATTTGTCTACCACTGCATCCCAGTCTTATTGTACTGTTTCGGAAAGTCTATATATTTGTTGATTTTTTTGAGTATTTTCAGAGGTTTCTAACACTGACAAAATAACTAGTTTCTGCACTGAGTCACGCAACTTTTTTTACCCCTTAACAACCGTTGTCTATTAGCAGTCGTAGTTACTACTCTACGGTATACTTAATACAATATCACATATGTATACCTTTCATCTTTAAGCTTGGAAAACTTAATGTTTTTTCAATAGAAGTCTTGCTGACGCGTAGTTATAGAATTTAGAAATTAGGAACCATCAAACAATCTGTTTTTTAGAAGTCAAGGTGAGTCATGAAAAATATATTCAACTTTGGAGTTTTATGCAAATCAACTTATGTTTAACGAAGTCAGAAAATTATGTTTTTATCTTACTGAAAATGTATTAAAGGTGGCACACTGTAACTTTTTATCATTGTTTTCGTTATTGGTATCCGTTTTCGCTCAGATGTATGTATCGATTTGTTTGTTAGATCGATTTTATATTTGTTGTTGTCATTCTTATTGTTACGTAATTTTTCGGCTGTAAACTACAGATTACTCAATGTTTAATTTTTATTGATCGACAAAATAGTTGGAATTTAATTTGTTCATCAGTTGTCTGATACTAAACCATAGTTTAGTTATATTATGATGGTTTATTGTAAATGCTTTGATTGTTTTATATTGTAAATGCATTTCTTTCCCTTTGCCGAGTTTATTACTCCGTAATGACGTTACCTGTATACTTTCATATTTTGTTCCTCAATAAAAGTGTTTCAAGGCTGATGGATAGTCTTTATTCGCTATACAGATTTCAATCTGTCTATATCTGGTAAACCAAGTTTCTAAAATACTTATTTGCTTTAAGCACGCTACATAAAATTATTTAGTTTATATGCTCTTCTTCACTATTTGGTATATTCAATTACTTTGCAAACGTTGCTAAGTCATTGTGTGATAAGAAAGATTTGATGTGTGGGTTGGTATCTGAATCATTGTGTTAATAATCCTTTTTTAAATGAGTGGTATTTATTATGAGACATACTCATTAATTAATTAATCACTTTAGTTCACCATATGTAAAATTTTACATAAGACTTGTTTGGATAATAATAGTAACTCAAATAAATCTTGAAACGTCGACCTTATTTTGCGTTTTAATATATGATAAATTAATTAATCATCGTATTTATTTTGAAGCCTATTTAAGTTATGTTGTTATGGCAACGGAAATACATTGAAAACGTGATAAGATCATACGTGAAAAGATGGGTTTGTTGATTGCCATTTCTTTTCCCTGATAGGTGATAATCGTTGAGATAATATCTTATTTATTTGATAATATGAACTACACAATTCGGTTGTTTATTATTCGATTTGGGCACCCGGGCAGTATCACAGCCCTCACACATATCAAATGAGATCTATGTGGCGCTTATGTATTTGGTGCCTCCTCGTACCAATATCTATGTGTTAAAATAAATAAAAATAAATAAATAATAGATCGAGTAACATTCTTGAACATCATAAATTAAGGTATTTACTTCATGCTCGTCATACAATATATGACCCAATTGCCCTGGTTATGACTAAGTGTAGAGAAATTCCGCTCTCCCTTTCGAGATGCTCTCGTCTGGTCTTGCATTCAAAGCTTCTGTTTAGGAATTCCTGCTTATTGCCTTCACGTAGTAGGGGTGCATGTCAAGCCCTTAAACAGGGTTAATATATATGGAGGATTCTCGTGGAGGAGTTGAAACACTGATTTTAAACCAATAGTGGGCATAGCTTCCCAGATCCTATAGCTTATGAAGATATCTTTAGTCAACGGCTACCATGAGGCTGCATTTATTAATGTTGATCTATTCCCTTGTAGATAAGGCGTTCAAATTAGAGTTTGAGGTAGCGGTTCCCTCGAAAAACTTCCTGCTTCGGTTTGGACGTCTCAACAGTATCCTAATTTACAAAAACGTAATTTTATTTAACACATTCTGTTTTTAGTACTCATTTGTACCAGATTTTGAATGAATTAAATAAATAACTAGACACCATATATACTGGTCATATATTACCTTTCGTAAAAATAACTTGATCATATTCAATAGCATATACTATACACAACATTTTGTATTTATTTTTAAAAAAATCCTTGTTACAGGTTGTGGTCATTGTTATTATCTGCGTATTTGCTAGTTTCTTTCTACAACCAAAATTAATACCTTTACCAAGATCTAATTCGCTTATCTATAATTTATCAGCATCAAATAATGTAACTATATTCGCCGAGTTTACTGGCTTGAACGGAAATACATTCAGAGAGAATATTTATCGTAAGTTCATGTTATTCCGGTGTTGAAGAAACGTGTGAATATCCGTTTATTTCTTGTGGGTTATATTTCTAATTATCACTCGATATTTGTATAATTCCATATTATAATCAATTTTTATCCGAAGCAATGTTTACTTTGTAATGTATATTGATTAGTTACATACCGTATTTCACATAGACATTACTTTCTAATGACTCTACTCATATATTTGTAACGAAACAGGAAAAAGATCTCAATCTTATCAAAATTGCATTCAACTCATTTGATATTATGTACTAAGGTAGTAATCTAGAGGTTAATTGTGGTAATCGTGCCACGTGTAAAATTCTTTTTAAGTTTATTTACTATAATTTTATATAGTTCAGAGTTAATTCTCTGAAACTTTCTTGATTAATATAGCCTTAGGTTTTAAGAGATGACCGGTTTTAACTGTGCGTATCGGTAAATAAATGAATTTAAATGTAAGTTGACAATTTTTAGTTAATTGATGCCTCTTCTTCATATCACTATATATATATATTGATGAACCTCGCTTCATTTTAATTCGTTCAGAACACTTGTAGTCACGATTTTATCATAGTAACTAGAAGTTGATAAACACCAAGCGTATTATTTTTCATGAAATCTACACTGACTATTTGCTGAATAATTTTTTCATTTATTTCGAGTTTATTCTATTCTAGGCTACTTTAGTCCACTTAACACATACTAAACATCTGTCTTACCGAAAATAATTTGTTAGGTGGAGAAGAAATAAAATTAAAAAACCCTTGATAGTAATTTCTGAAGTTACAAACTACTATTTTATGAGTTTTGTAGGTCAATAAAAAATTAATTCACAAAATGACAGGATAGAATAAATTGACTTTGTTTCATTGGTATCTTATGGATTAGATATAGTCTTCAGCTGATAAGAAATCAGTAATATAAAATAAATTATTTTTTTTGTATTACGTTTTCTTATCTATTACCTTTTGATTGACACCTTTTAAATCGGTTCTATGAAAATAGTTTGCATTCTAAGACAACAACTGAAACGTGGTAAATAAATGAAAACATAATAGCTTGTACATCTGTCTTCTATGAAGCACATATCATATATGTTTAATTTTCTTATGAAACGATTTTATCACTATGTCCCTGATGAACAGAAAAATGGCTAGTTTGTTTGAACCATTTTCACACTATTAGCTAAGTTTATACGTATGTTGTTAATTTGCTAGATATTGGTTCTATAAACACTGCGAATGTTGTTTTTACATCGTTGATTAAAAAAATAAATGTTTAGGATACGATCTGTGTGCTTGGTATCCCTGAAACTAACACCGTCGCAAGACGGTCTTACAGATATTTTCACTCACAATATTTCTACTTTTTCTTATTCTTTGGTTTTAAAATCAGTTATTGATGTCCTATGTTATCTAAGCCTTTAGATTGCCCAGACTGTACACGATTTTGGTATGTCAAAATTAGTTGATATCATTTCGAGTTTACGTTAAAACAAAAATATAGATTTATAATTTTTAGGAGAAATCGGCACAATATATCTTTCATGGAAAATAGTTGTAATACTCCAATAATTTTTGATCTCTTTGAAACCTTATTTGATTTTAAATCATTCCGTATAATCTCACTAATTGACCTTTATTTCATTTCTCTTTGATCGATAATGCTCCTCTCTGTTCATTTCATCGATCGTGATGCTTTATTACAACCTTTAGGTGGTGTTATGTAAATACATTTGAACTACTTAAATCGATTCGTAGATTTTATATCAAACTCTGTTTTAGTCCCATCAGACTATCTCAAGTTAGGTTTACATGGAAGATCATATGTATTTAACACACTAGAATACAAGGAAACGTATGTGCACTGTAAATAAATAATATATCTGTAATATCCCAATGAGTAGAAAAATTAGATTTTCTGATGTTTCGTGAGTAAGTGTAAGCCACTGCTTCAGAGAATAAATAACCAAATCAAAATTAATCCAAGATTAAGTAGTACAAACGGAACTCTGTGCTTTATGCTTCTGATTTGTCGTTCAGTCAATACCTTTTTCTATACAAACAGTCATTTAACCAGTAAAGTCCTCAAAACTACTAATTTGAGTATTGATTAAGTTCAAAGCTAGAATTCAGTGAAAGCAATCGTGAAGAGAAAGAGAAAATGAAAGAAAAACATGATAAAAATAGAAGAACAAAAGTGAATAAAAATCAGTGTCAGAGAGCAAAATAATCATAATTATAATAGGAGAAACCGTTCAGTCAAGAAGAATACAACCGGAAGGAATTCCTTCATTTAAAGAAGTTACTCTCGCTTTAATGAAGAAAGTAAAAGAAAGTCACATCAGGATCGCCATTAGTTTCTATTATGAGCCATATCTGATAACGTCTCAAGCCACTGTGTTGCGCCGTCTTTAGGACCCCAACCAGGGAGTCATGAAGGACCGACAGAAGCTAGTCCTGTACAGCTTTCTTAACCAGGACGATAGCATGTCGTACATTGACCAGCTATCCGCTTTTACCCAACAGTCGCAGTATCGGCTAATAAAGCGCGGTGTGGAATTCGTAGGATACGTCCAAGCCACCGGACTCAGTGTTTCAAAATAGTGACACCGTTTGAATTATTATCTCTGTACTCGGACACACGTTCCCGAACCTCTGCGTTACTGACATGATGTCACTGGATGTCTGCAATCCTTCAGAGAAAACGACGACTAAACACAGTGGGTCGTCTAACATCCTGTACGTGAATTGATCTTATCACATACGCCACCCCCAGAACTTATGCAGCTACCTAAATTCACGAACTTCTTGGCTACTTCTAAATTCTCATTACCAAGAGTGATTGAGGGTTCAGAGTCCTGCTAGTCTTGTAACAGTACTTTTCATATAGGGGGTGCAAAGCACATGGCATACGTACGGCCACTGGTTGCCAACTAAGTGTGGATTGCATGTCTTGGGTATCATCTCACAGTAAGACAATATTACCTCCATACTCAATGTCGAAAAGTCTTTCTCGCGGGGACAGATCCACAAGAACAAACAAACTTAGTTATGTAGGTGTCAATGGAAAGGTTGAAATTGATAGTTCTAAGTGAATAATGACTAAAACTAGAAAAATTATATATATATATATATATATATATATATATATATATATATATATATATATATATAAATTAACCATTGTATGTATGGATTTTCGTACTCTTTTAGCTATGTATTCAATTGATTATACTACTGGTTCATTGACGTCTTTCGTCATTGTTTTCTCCGTATTATTTTCTGGTGTAACTGGGATAATGAACGGTGCAAATGTGTCTGGTATGTTGATATTACTGTCTCATTTCATCAGTCTATTCACATTCAGTGTTTGAATGCTCAATATACTTTGATTAAATCTTCATTCCTTCCATAAAAATATTTTTTAATAGCACATGTTCAAACTATGCATAAGTATATATTTATATATAAGATTGTCAATTTCATGAATAAAATCAAAAACTACAAGTCACACCCAAAAGTGTCAAATCAAAACTACTTGATTTGTCTTGAAATACGTAACTATGATTGAAAATTACTCCAAATCGTGAATAAAATCGCAAACTTTGAAGTGTGAGATTTACGGACGATTGTTGCACATTTATAATAAAACAGAATACACAATATGTTTTATGAGTAGAGATATGGTATTCGAGTGTATTTGGAATGGGTTAGCTCAGATAAAATCATATCGACATTTTTATGAATCACGGAGTGTGCTGGCTCATCGAAATAAATCGGTAATCAGATTTGGCAAGTTCCTCTCTGTAACGAGTTACGAGCTTTAACATATGAATCCTAGAAGCAACTGAAGCATGCTCTCTAGCATTTTTGGAATATGTGGTATCATATAAAGTGTAAGCACGGACTATCATTATTATGTTTCATTTAATCATTAATCTGCTAAGATGGGGTTCGGCCTGTGCAGGGTATTCATTAGTTGATGTCATTTGTAGATAAGATTGATTGAACAACCAATAATAATAGTGTTAAGTCTTTTACTTGAGTAACGCAGAGCACGATATATTACTGACGGCACGCAAACGTGTAGAACCTCACAGTGGCATATCAGAAGACAGAAGAAACAAGAGGAGTGATTATTGGGTAAGATTCAAAAATATGCAGAAAAACATGTGTATTTATGGTTGTTAGCGTTGGCTATAACATCGTTATAATTCAACCAACCCGCGAGGAGGCAAGTTATACTACCGTCTGATCGTGGCATGCCATGTTAATATTCTATAAAGCCCCATCAGGTTGTGATTGGGTGGAAAATCTTCGGCTCCTTTAGGGCCTCTAGAGGCCCTATTGTGCCTCGCAAAAGCCGTCCCAATAAATAGAAATAGTGAATACTTTGAAAATATATTTCTCCCATAAATAATAAAAGTTGTAGTTCTCTTACAGTTGTAAGCTGATAAAGGATGAAGATGGAAAATGTGGTGAAAGAATAATCCGATTAACCGATCCTTGTTGAACACGTTTGATTGCATTTAGTCAATATCACTACCTAATTTCGACATGATAATTTCAAGTAAATTGAGCAATAAATGAAATGTAACTTAGATTTCGAATAATGCTCTTCCAAAGTCGCTAGCATTGGACTTCATGATTTGAGCCGCAATCCACATCACTATTTTTTGAAGAAACGACTTACAACAAGTTGTGAAACGTTAAAAACTCAATTCTCTACTTATTGATATGTGACAAATACATCATATTGTTATAATTATCATGAATTAAATGAATACGTCTTGCCGCTTATATAATCTCAATTATCTTTCTACTTACCTCAAGAAGCCTTAATTTTGTTTTCATTTATTGGAACGTACAGACATTTGTCTCCATTTTATAAAAGCATATGAGACGTTTTACACTAAGAATGTGGAGTCACATCTCTTTTGCAAGGATTATGATATTTCTGGCCACTTTGTTGTGCCTTGACTAGTCGGGTAGCTGAGCTGTTTTTCTTTTTAAACCTCATTCGTTAAGCCGTGATTTTGAAGCAAAATAATTTGATGGTAAGACTAGCTAAATTTCAGTGTAATATGGAAGAGGATGTTAATTAGGACTTGCATCATTATCCGTTGAACGAGTAGTCGTTATATTTTTAAAAGGGAACTGATGTGTTGTTTTTCCTGGCTTCAGTGTTCACGTTTACCCGAAGTTGAATGGATCAGAATAGGGGATGAAGTACGAGGAGGGCTTGAATCCTTCAACGCTAGAGACTTTCAAAGAGTATTGATATAGATAAGACAAGAAGTACTCTTTTACATGTGGCACATAGTATATTGCCACAATTTCTGAAGGTTGAATTAAATAAATCTTCTTTATATATGATTTTTTAGGTGAATTAAAGAATCCTTCTCGTTCAATTCCTTTGGGAACTCTATCTGCTTTACTTTGTACATTGGTAATTTATCTCGTTATGATGATATTCTCAGCTTCTTCTAACAGCCGGTAAGTAAATGTCTCATACACCAGCTTTCAGTTTTATTAATCTATTCTTATGGATTTCGTCGTCACGCACACATAACTGTTCATTAGTACTTAAACATTATATGGACTATTAGGCACCTGATGAAAACTAAGTGTTTTTTCCACACTTTTAAAACATTCTTAAGAAATGTATCCAACTAACCACATTGGTATCTCATGAGTAAACTTGGCTATCAGCTTTTAACCAATAATTTACAACCGTAAACTATGAAATCTGAGATCTACTTATTCAATGAGCATCCTGACTACCGACTGGACTGTATTTTTATACATTAGAAGTTTTGTCATAACTCATAATTTCTGGTTATTTGGGTTATTTATTATGTGATAATTTAATCTAGAGTCTTGAACAGTACTTTATTAACTCAAAACACTATTTTCACTTAACAAAGATAAACTCGTCGAAATAAAGAAACGGGGTTATGTCACTCTGATTACCGACATCAATTAACATAAAATAAGCAGGTCTGTCGTTGTAACTTGGTTATATTTTGGTTGGAAATTAAATTCATTTTGCATTCATCTAAAATTCTATTGCGTTAGATTTTAAGTCATTACTTCAATCCCCATTATATTAAAACACAACTATATGAACGAAGAATATTCTTTTCAATAATATCTCATCAGGTTCTACAATTATAAATCCAAATTAATAATCCATAAAATTGGCCAGATTTAAGTCAGAGTACATCATTTAAAATTGTAATATGTGAATCAAGAATTCTTGTTTGTTATATAAAATAAATCGTTAATGTTGGGGCTGACTAATATGAAGTGTGAACTTGAATCAGTTTATAAGCGAAATGAAATTGTGAGGTATATGATCACGGTAAATATTCCCAATATGGGGTGAACGAGAAAATAATGGGATAGAAATCGTAAATTACGTAATATGTAGGATAATATGAATTAGGTCAGATATAGTAGATAGGGGTGGATGCTGAATAAATTTCTCAAAACGGTTATCAAGTGTAATAATAATAATAATGTTAAAAATAATAATAATAATAATGACAATGGTAAGGTGCGTGGATAAAATGAGTTTGCGACATAGAAATGAACATTAATCAAATCATATCACCGTATTATTAACTAATTGGCCAGGGTAAAATGAACGACTGAACGTATTTCTTTTGGATGTAAAGCTCTGGTTTTTCGTTCCAAACTGCAATTGCTTCAGTCGCTTGCAGGATTCTCAGTCTGATGGGATTAGGTAGACTACTGTTAACACGATATATTATTGCGAAAGGTTGCTCCATGTTGGTTATATGTCCCGTCTGAATTAAATGGGCTAAATGGAACTGTTAACCCTTTTAACCTCACCTTTGCTTAACCATACTGCAAGGTGCTCACGAGCCCGAATAAACAAATTCCTAGAACATCTGCAAATATAACTTGCTCCACAGGAGCATTCGAACTGATAGATACAGAAAGAAGTGGCTAGTCTAGGCAATCTATCTTTCAACCTCGGAGTGATCATTGAACATGTGGAAAACATTAGTTGTAGTTTACCTGCATTAAAAGTTCTTTGGATTGATCTGCGTAACTTCAGTCTTAGCATTTCACTAGGCTCATCGCCTCTGAATTGTAAGCGTTTATACAGAGGCTTTTTATTCACGGTTAGGCATTCTCTGTGCTCTTTCTTATTGGCTATGTTTTTATTTATGAATTTCTCAGGATATGCATTTTCTTTCAGGGTCGTGTATAACGCCTTTGTTTCATTTTCGGCCGTATCTAGAGAACATATTGTCTTGATCAGGTTTTTTTGTATTGCAGAGGAACTGTTATATGTTGTGACCGCCGATTAGAAAGCAGTGACTTATCGATCGGATCAATGACGCGTAAACCCGTACGAGCAGCCTAGCTTCCTGCCTAGCCCAGACAGTTAAGTCCAGAACACCAATCCGAGCCTCTGATATATGAATCATGTATTTCAAACATACTCGGTTTATATACTAAACAAGCAGACCACGTACCATAAAATAGAAAATAACATTTGTACAAAATCTGGCCAAAAGTGGCTGTGAATGAGGGAGGTGGTGATTAATAAACAGGGAATAATTCAAGAATAACAGTTCATAGGTTAAAATAAAGCTTATGATAAGAGAGACATGAATATGAATAGTTTAGTTAATTAACAATTATACGACAAAATATACGTATAGTACTGGTCCATAAATGGATCCCAAAAATTACCACTCATCATTCTTATCGAGGCATAACAGGAACAAAACTAAGAAAGTTTGTATATTGGCCCGTCCAAGTAGTTTTCTTGTTTATGTTTCTTCTTAATGACCCGTCTTTTCTCCTTGTAAGTAGAACAATCCTTAATTCACATGTTACAATTTTAAATGATGTACTCTGCCTTAAATCTGGTCAATTTTATAAATTATTAATTTGGATTTATAATTGTAGAACCTGATGAGATATTTTTGAAAAGAATATTCTTCGTTCATACATATATATTCATTTAAAAACATGTGTTCATTTATAGAATATTTCTATTCAAATTGTACCTTTCAAAATCATTGTACTCTGCTCATAATTTTCGGATATAGCCCCGTGATTATTTCTGATTGGAAACAACCGAGTATTATGACTCATTTTATAAACTGTTGACTAGTGATTTAACCTTCTCAGTCAGTCAGTCAGCTACAACATAGAACCAGGCACATATATGCATCGGTCCAAGTTGCCATACCGCATTAGTACAACAAGATGAACACCGGATTCATAGAAGTAGCTGATTCAGTGGTGGTAATATATAGAAGAAAGATTGTGTATAAGGAGATAGTACAGGAAGAAAGAATTAGTTCCTAGAAAGATATGAAGCGATTTTAATCTCTTAATTTAAGGAAGACAGAGAGTGTATACACCGACGCCATTGTGATCGGTTGTGAGCCATGTCACCAAGAGTCTCCAACCATTGGTTACGATAGTCACGCGGACCCCAACCAGGCAGTCTGAATCTTCCAACATGGCTCAGACCAGAAGTTAGTGACTTCAAGCACTGATGCCACGTTTTGGTTTGGCCGCCCCTAACTTTCTTCCAATTATCCCCTACACTAGTCAGCATTGCGCGTCGTGGTAATCGGTGTTCAGGCATACGCACAACGTGGCCTAACCATCTCAGTCGATGAAGATTCATAACCTCATCAACTGATTTACCATCATTCCCTAGTACCCTGCGTCTAACCTCACTATTACCTTCTCAATGTGATTTTAATCGATAAAATACAATCAAGGTTTAGAAATCTGTTTATATTTCTGTTGTTACTGATCATATATCATGTAACAAAGCAAGGGCAATAAATTTTTTCTTACTGAATACAATCAATTCATTGGATTTTATTGCTTTCTCCTCATCTTTATACAAAGTAATAAATGTAGTTAATCAAAATTACTATTATGTACATTACTTTAAGAATTTAGATATTCATTAATAAAGAATTATATTATTTGTAATCGGATTACTTAATAATTCTCTATGTTTCTCTGCTAAGTACCAAAATGTTATAATATTAGGTGAGAATATTTTATTTCATCCGTTTAAAGTATATTTAAGTTCGATCAAAGGTACATGCTATAATTTTTTTTAAACATTTTTTTCCAGTCAAAAGTTCCATAAATATACTATTTGTTTTTCTTTAGATTTAGAGATGCAACATTGATGATTTTATTGATTTGTGGATGTCTCTAGCATTTTTTTTCATGTTTGCTCTTGTTATATCTTTTTTTTTATTATGTCATAGATATCTGTTATTAAATAACAATATATTCATGCAATCAATTAGTTTTTGGCAACCAATCGTTGTAATAGGTGTTTTTGCCACTACATTATCAGCAGCTTTAGGCAATCTTATTGGAGCTTCACGTATATTGGAGGCGATAGCTCGTGATGAATTATTTGGTAATTTTGACTCATTACTGACGTATTATATTGTATTATATCATGAAATATTACTGTGTTTGAATACAACTTTGTTTCAATTAGTTAACTTCAAGAATATTATGGAATATTCACTTATTATTCCTTTCGGAGTAGATGTTCTTCTATGTTCATAAAGAATATATTTTTATTTGTACGTATTTTCAATACGAGTATTTTGCATTTCTAGATATCAAACATCCACCATTCTTGAGATTCACTCATTCAGAAATTTTAATTATGTTGAGACGTTTGCTAGAGACTTTGGAACTAATCGTTTTCTCTATGTCCATTTACAATAGTCTTTTTCAATTTTTTAATCTTAATGTTTATATCTAAATTCATTTGTTTTAAGTATATTATCTCGATATAGGCAATGAGTTGGATTTTAGCCTTCTATTTTCCTTGAAATCCGTCATAGATCTTTTTATTTCCTTTCGATGTTTCAGGAACCATTTTTATTCTCAATGATTTTTGTTATTAACTTATAAAATAGGATTAATTTAGTCCTAATCTATATTAAAATGGTGAAAAAATTCAGTTTTGATTGTTAAATAAATGAAACAGTTCCATATTTTCAGTAAATAAATTGTTAATTTATTATTGGCCCAAGGCAATGTTAAGTTAGCTAACAGATGGAGAGGGAAAGACCAAAAGAATTAACTAGTTAATCTCACTCAACATTATCTTAGTCCTGTGAAATTCAATCAAAGCTAATAATCGACTGTAATCAAACAGAGATGGAAAACACTTGTTTGGATTTTACTAACTTACTTTTCTATATTATATGAATTTTATAATATTGAATGTGAGTGCAGTGATAGCAACGACTGTGAAAGATTGATTTGTGCTAAAGTATTTCAAAAAAACTATCATGTTATATCCATTTCACATATTATCCCATAGTTTTTCTTCAAACCTATTGATAAATGCTTATATGGAGTGTCGGTACCTCGTTTCGACAACTGTGTAATGTTTTCCGTTTTTACATATGAAGCGCAGCTCAAAGTCAAGTACATGAATCTGTACAGATGGATAAGCTATACTTACTATGTTAAAATCGAAATTCATCTTGTCCTATAGCTTTATAAAGATTTAAAACAAAACAAACTTCACAGTTTAATATTTTCAATTCATGCTAGCTAATTGTTCTTATCATAAACCAAATTGCCAACAATTTGTATGAGGCTAACTTTAACAACTCAAACATTTGTTTGTGTTTAATTTTTCTCTCTGTAGGAATTCTAACTTTTCTATTCCCTCTTATATATAGTCAGTGAAATCTTAATAAATCGTTGCATATATTAAATCTTATCAATAATATATTGTTTTATTACTTACTTATTTATGTCTTCATTTAACTGCTATCTCTTGAGATCATGTTCATGTATGTTGTTTCAACTATCTTCATTATATATCCCACTCTATATTGTTTAACAATAAATAGTTTTCGATGAGACATTATCTCTCATCGATGACAAGTTTATTGATGGCCTACATCACGCATAGCTTTCTTTATTTCAATACCCTTTTTTTTTCAAGAATATTTTAATATATTTTTAAAAGTCATATATCATTCACGATTTCAAGATCTAAAATATTACCACATTATAAATACCGATTATATAGTATAATAATTGACTTTTTGCTTTGAATAGGTCGACTTCTCCATCCAGCAAAATGGACCACAAAACGTGGAAATCCGATAGTGGCAGTCCTTTCTGCTGGGTTTCTTTGTTTGGTGAGTTAGTTGATTAATATGCACTGTTTATTGACTTGTGAATTATTGAAAGTGGATGCTTATTAGTATTTGTAATTATAAGGCATTAATTGTTTTCCTATGAATTTCCAGAACTTTTTTCACCATATTCTGGCTTACACTATCCGTTTATTCTTTCTATAAAGTGTATACTAATCTGTTTATCGTTTTTAAAATTAACAAAACTTTGTAACACATTGGTTAGATTTCTAAAGTTTTTACGATAATGTTCAATACGATTATACCAATAACTTCAAATGGTAGGTAATTGAGATTTTTTCGATAATTTTTTACTTGTAAAGAATAGGTATTTTCTTAAATTATCCTCTGTCACCAGTTATTTTATTCAAGGAAATCAAGTATGTACTTCACGAACACTTATTGAAATAATTTCTCTTCAAATGTGGAATATATAAGAAATATTAGCTTGCTATCTTTCCGTTTTTCATTCATTGAATCACACATAATCTATTCAGTTTTGATTGACGTTTTATTTTGTTCCTGGTAGTTTTTTTTTCTTATATCATATCATGTATTAGCATTACTTGATTCATTAATGTTCTCTGTTTAGTTGTATTAGAGCCTAGTTGGTCATGAATATCTTAATAGCATAAACTGTACTTCAAATATGTAAAGAAGTATTAATCTTTGGTGGTCGGGACTCTGGTTTCGATTATCTATTCAGAAACAATACTCTTGAATTGAGTATTTACTTAAAATAAGATAAGTAACATTAAAAACAATGAGAGGGCTATGTCGGTAAATGGTACCAGTTTAAAGTCAATCAGTCAAATAATAGAAATTTATAATATTTTATTGATTGCCCTTTATAAGCATCAAATTAGATTTGAAAATAATTATTTACGTTTTCTTATCGTTAAAATTAAAACTGAAACTAAGCAAATATGATTTTTATAAATAAATAATATATTTGTAATATTCTAATGAGTAGAAAAATGAGATTTTATGACGTTTCGTGAATAAGTGTAAGCCACTTCTTTAGAGAACAAATAACCAAATTAAAATTAATCCAAGTTTAAATAGTACACCGAAACAATAAGAATAATATGTGACTTTAAACCTTGATATTGGTTAAAATTGATAGGATCACCTTTAAAGTTCCATCAAATTAATACAAGTTGTGGTGTGTGCTACTTATGTAGACATAAGTAGTATATGACGTGAGCACTGAACAGAATGTCTGACAACAGAGGGACGAGAAGATCGAACAATAAAGAATGAAGACAGAAGGCAATTTGTATGGAAATGCAAGAACAAAGGGATTCTGAGTGATTTGAGACAATTAATGATCTTAATCATTGAAATTACTACAATCTCCACAAAACCCCTTCTGATAATAATCAACATATGCTCACTAGTGACTGGCTTCAAGAGGTATATCCTGGAGTTCTAGTGAGAAGTAGTGACCAGTGGAGTTCAACCAGGTCTGTTGTGGGATAGTAACTCACTGAAGACAATGGTGGATGTGTCGCTCGATTTCGTGGATTAGTTGAAGTTAGACATTAACACCGTTGGATGCCGGCTCAGTGGTCTAGTGGTTAAGTGCTCGCGCGCGAAACCAGTAGGTCCTGGGTTCGAATCTCGCAGGGGGCGAGGTCGTGGATGCGCACTGCTGAGGAGTCCCATAATAGGACGAAACGGCCGTCCAGTGCTTCCAGGTTTTCCATGGTGGTCTAGCTTCAACTGACTCATGATCTTAATCATTGAAATTACTACAATCTCCACAAAACCCCTTCTGATAATAATGAACAATTCGCAAATTAACGATTTAATATGTGGTTGTTGGATTTTACTAACTAGTTCTATAATTTGTTGTTAAGTACATTCGATTGTTCCCACCTGTGTTCTTGTTCACTACAAGGTGACCCCAATGGGATTTCCGATGAATTTATCGTACAGATTGTATTTTGAGCTACCTCAACAAAGTGAACAAAGCAATTAGTATCTTTGATAAATTTCGTTAGTGTAATAAAGAAGATAAGGATTATCAGCAATATATGATATATTAGTGTAATACATTTCGAACAATCTGATCACACATACATGCTAAGAACATTTATACATAAAAATAGAAAGTCAGTTAGACTAGAAGTGAAAGGAAAAAGGAAACAGAGATAATAAAGAAAATACTGTGAAACCACATCACGCTGGATAATAAACTAATATTATCAGGCTAGGTTTACAGTGAGAACAAACTGTTTTTGAATATATAAAGGGAAGTTGAAGTTTTGTATGTCCAGCGCTTCAATAAACACTTGAACACATTTGTACAACACAAAAACCAAGTTAAGACCAATCTTATGACCTGTATATATGTTTGTTGATAGAGTATGGGATCAAATGGTTTGAAATGTATTGCTCTAATAGATCACATAGATCTGATAGTCCTCATGTTCTCATTACATTATCCAAAAATGAACAAAACTTTCTATTTAGTACCTTTTATTTATTTTATTTTATTTATTTATGGTTTTATTCAATATTATATTTTGGCACAATATAGAATTCTCAGCACAAAAATATTTCAACAAGTTTCTTTTACAGAACAAAAGAAAAAAAACGGTTAAAAAAAATCTGAAAAAAACTGTACAACTCTTCAATTAGAGTCATGTTAAGAATGCAGATTATTGACTAGGTTAACTCTAACAACCTGTTCGTCACAGAGTACATTTGCTAGGTAAGGTACTATAGAACGTTTATACTTTTGCTTGCGTGCTTGGATTTTAATGTAATTTCGTCTCGTTCTACCAGAAGATATACAAGGAGAAAGATATGAGTGAAGGGGATGGTTAGTATCTGATAAAATAACATCTGCCAGGAGTTTGCATGACTTTAGATGTCTATCCACAATCATATTAATTATGGTCTCGAAAGATTCACCACATAACTTGCTAACTGCCTTCAGAGCTCTCCGCAGTACAGCAAAGTCTTTTCTCAAAAGCCCGGGAAAGAATAACGGAGAACAGTAAAGAATAATAGGTAATATGCAAGAATTGACAAATTGTAGGAGTAAATGACGAGTGATCCCAAAAGCATGCAACCTCTTAATGTAGTAAGTCAGACGGAAAACTTTCTTCGATAACAATAAAACGTGAGAAGACCAAGAGAGATCAGAGGAAAAGGTAACACCAAGATAATTGACCGTCGACACTGTGTTTATCAAAGAGTCGCCAATGGCACAAGCATTATAAGATCTCAAAAAGGTGTTTAAATGCCGATCATGTCTCATGCTAAAGTTAACAGCTTGACATTTAGACGGATTAAGTAGGAGACCATTAACGACAGACCAACTATCAATGTGAGATAAAAACTCGTTCATTTCTATAGGATGTAAAGAGGAAGAGATAGGCATACAAACAGTGAGATCGTCTGCATATTTCACGAAAGTGTTTACTGTGGAAGATGGCAGATCATGCAGAAAAAAAGAGAAAAGAAGAGGTGAAAGAACAGCTCCTTGTGGTACACCTTCATACGACACTAGAGACTCTGAACACTTTCCTCCAAACACTGTGTACTGTTCCCTTCCAGAGAGGTAGGAACATAGCCAGTTGGTTATCCAGCTGTCAGTGTTGACGCTGATTAACTTGTTAAGTAAACGTTGCCTTGATATAGAATCAAAAGCAGAAGTATAGTCCAGGAAAGCGCATCGAACATACTTCTTACCCTTTTCTAGGTTGAACACTATATTATGATGCAGAACAGCAACAGCATTTAGGGTGCTTCTTTTGCATCTGTAAGCAAACTGATACTGGTCAATGTGCTCTTTTATCGCAGGCTGAAGTGAAAGTGTCAATAATTTTTCCATTGCTTTGAGGAAGGGTGAAGTTATCGCAATGGGTCTGAATTTCACATTCTTATCACTAGATGATTTCTTGGGTATAGGGATTATCTTAATCTTTCTCCACATTTTCGGTATGAGATTAGAAGAGAAGGATCTGTTAAAGATAGTAGTGAATGGATAGCATAGGACGTCAGCACACTTTTTGAAAAGGAGGTTTGGGATACCATCAGGTCCCAAACATCGGGATGAATTTAGTGACTGGAGACATATTTGGACATCAGTTTCGGTGAAACTAGGAACACAGCTATTTTTTAAACCCGTGAATAAAGGGAGTATCACATCAAATGATTATCGGTCCTAATCTGTCTGTCACCTGTAAGTTCTTTAAAGAGTTTCCACATACTTGAAGAGTTTTTACAAGACAAGAGTTTTTGAGCAATCATAGTGTTGAGACGACTAATCTCGAGGTTTATTAGACCATTTAGCTTACGAACTTCACTAGAGTTTTTCTTTTTGTACATTCTTTCTTTCACCCTCCGTAGTCGTTTTAGTTGTGAAGATGTAAGTCGATCAAAACTTACAAAAATAGTTTCAGTGGGACAACAAATGTCAAAACAGAATTTAAGGTAACAAGTGATAATATCAGAAGTGATTTCTAGTGAGTCATCTGTAAATAATTTCCAGTTGGTCGTATGAAACATGCCTTTCAGGTTTCGGATATTTACTTCTGAGTAATTCCTATATTTGACTTTCTTGCTTTGATTTAAGAGTGTACTCTTCCCATGCTTTCCATATATTTAGGTAGAACACGAATTATACAGTGATCCGAGCTAGACAATGGGGCACGTTTACGAGTCACATATATACCTACATCATTAATGAAAACGAAGTCTAAATTAGCATCCAACCGAGTAGGAAAATCTACTTCATTTTGGTGACCTAGCGATGTAAGGAAGCTACAGTCACATGAATTGAAATCACCACATACGACTGAAAGTGAATCACTGAAGGCAGTAACAGCGAACTCAGTGAATTCCTCAGCGAAGACAGATAGCGCAGATGATGTGCAGTCTGGGGTCACATAGATATTGGTAACATAAACATATTTGTATTTATTCAGATGTTTTGGACGGCATCTTAGAGTTAGACAGTCGATAAAGTCATTTGAAAACTTGAAACACGCAAACGTAGATCGACACCAGTTCACGTTTACAAAAGTAGCTACAACGCCGTCACACCTCTTTTTATAGTTTGATTGATCCTGACGATAAATTTTGGAATCATGTAGGGATACTAGGCAGTCGTCCTGTAAATCCTTTAACCAAGATTCTTGAATTGTGATGACACCACAATTACGATACATATTTCAACTTAGTAGGGATTGAAGATAGTCTATCTTGTTAATTAATGATCGGCAGTTAGAATTTAGCAATTCGGGAATCGACATACGATTAATGTTCATTCTATTCAACGCATATTGCCAACCACCACGATGTCTTTTGTTGTAGGTTTTTGTAACTTGTGCAGCGAAAGGTCGTAGGCTTTTCATAAACGCGCCTGTATAGGTTATGCGATTAATGGACATAATGAGAGGTTAAAACAAAATGAAAAAACAGATAACTTGTTGAAATAACTAGATGGCAGAAACAGGTAGCCCAGATATTCAAGCAGGCCGCCAGGTGATTCTATGTTAATTCCATAAATAATTTGAAATAGCTTATGATTTTAATTGTTTATATTACATTCAATTTTCCACTTAAGGATGGTTTGAATTCCTATTGCTTATTATTATTATTCACTTGTTTATTTCTTTTGAATTTTATCAGAAATCAATTATGATACACACTATTTATTTGTTCTTGTTTTTGTTTGGTAAAAATATAGTTGATTTTACTGATTGGTAGATTAAATGCTATCGCTCCACTTGTATCTGTTCTATTTTTACTGGCTTATGCTTCGGTGAATTTGGCCTGTGCTGGTTTAGATGCTGCCTCACCACCGAATTTCAGGTTAATCTGTTAAAGTATAGTGTTCTGTTTACGTTTTATTCTTGGTTTCAACTTCACTTTATGCTAACCGTTGCATCCGTGATTTGAAACTTTGAATTAAAGTTTATTTTCGCGAAATAACTGATGTAATTGATAGCTACCTCCAATATTTCGTGTTCATTAGATTTACAGGACGCCATACAATATACTCTTGATAATTTTAGTCAATATTGCGTGTGTTTCACTTATCAAGTACAGATTTATATATTTAAGTTTGAGAAAATTCACATGAGACCTAATGGATACCACATGATTCTCTGTAATAAATGGGATTCTAATCTGCAGGTATCTTTACCATTATTTCACTTTCGTATTTTATAAATGTCATATATTAAAATTGCTATTCAACAAACACAAGTTGATTTATTCAACTTAGAATCAAAATTCAGATGTGAGAGCTATCGGTAATACTTAATTACCTAAACTGAAGTGAATCTAAGGTGCTTTGAATGTGTCAGCTATTCGTTAAAAGACTAATATTGTGATTCTTGAGTCACCACAAAGCATTTGTTAATCCAAAATTCAACATATCTTTTAACTAATTATGATTAAAGTTTCTTTTTACTGTGGCATTGGATAGGAAATAGATTTTCTTTAGTGTAACAGAATTTCTGTGATATATTAAACCTTCAAAATAGCAACTAATACACAAGAAATATTGATTTGGAAACTTTCAGTAAATACAATTAAATGAAAACACTTTTATATTGTTTTACAGTTTGTCGAATAACCATGCATTAATATATTTTTCAATAGTGGTCGAAATTCTTCATGACATTTTAATCGACTTAATTATGATGAAAATTATGTCAATCTAAAATACCGATTTCGAAGTAGTGAATGTAGTTTATCATATTGGTATTAATGTGTGTTCATTTAATTTTTTACCTGCAAATATAAGGTGGAATCAATTTACAATATTTTTACAACCGTGATCGTTCCGTCCTACTTTATGGCAGTGAAACATGGCCGGTAAGAATAGAGGATATTCGTAGGTTACTAGTATTTGATCATAGGTGTCTTCGAAACATTGCTCGTATATCCTGGGACCACCGAGTAAGCAATGCAGTTGTTAGGAAACGGGTACTAGGTAAGGATGGCAAGTCGATTGATGAAGTAGTGAAACTTCATCAGTTAAGATGGCTGGGACACGTGTTACGCATGCCCGACCACCGACTGCCACGACGTGCGATGTTTTATGGTGTAGTAGGTTGGAAGAAAGTTAGGGGTGGCCCGACTAAAACATGGCACAAATCCATAAAGTCACTGACTAGTGGACTGAACCATGTTGGTAGGTGTAGACTACCTGGTTGGGATCTGCGAGATGATAACAACCGATGGTTAGAGATCTTGAATGACATGTCCTTTATTTTCTTTACAAATCTATTTCACTGGATTATACTCTTTAAATAACATCATCAAACCCTAATGTTCCCTATCACTACTTATACTTTCACTACCTCTACCACTATGGGATTTGAATTGACAAATGCATATCTGTGCTAATGTGGTATAGCAACTCGAACTGATGTACGTACGTACGAAGTTCCACGTTGTTACTGACTGACTGTAATAAATACCTAACAGGTTGAAAATGCTTTTTTGGTCTTGTGATCCTAAAAATAATTATGATAAAGATGTATTCTTTTAAGTTCTTTCAGTGAATGATAAAGAAAACTAGGTATATAATTGTCTGGTAAATGATTTTATATTAAGAATAGATCTAATTTTGGGAAAAAATAATAAAATATTTTCTTTTAAAAATTGTATTTAAATTTCATAAGAAAATGAAATAGATTCATTATGTGTAATTTTCCATACCAATTATCGTATTGTCTTTTTTTGTTTACATTTCACTTTGTCAGACCGACATTTCGTTATTTTAATTGGATCACTTCAATTTTGGGAATGATTGGTTGTATCATTATGTGTTTATTAATTCAACCAATTTATACGGTAGTGGCAATTATTGTTTTAGGTGTTCTCGTGTTTTCATTATATCAACGACATTTAGAATCGTCATGGGGTAATATTGGACAAGCGCTTCTATTTCATCAGGTAAATGTTTTTAATGTTAAAAAAAGATAAATCGATTTTAATTTAGTTAAAATGAAAGTTTTATTGTTTGCATATCTTTCTAAATTTATAAGTATTTTATGGATTGTGTATGTCAGTTTAATTCTGTAACCTTTTGGATAGTCAGTCAATTTATAGAGCACTCAATATTCGCTTCACCAATGATATAATATCGTATGGATTAGTTATTAGAAACGGTGTTTTTTGTATTCCGGAAATTCTGTAAATTATGACTACATAAATATTACATTTTATAGTGTTCTCCCACAACAATTCTCAGTGATTGGTTTTATTATTAGTATAAGGTTGTAGAAATTATTATGCTTTTATTATGATGATAAACTCGTCGACATTAGACCACTGGCGAAAACTTTGAATCACGGAATGATTGTTTTGTCTCTATATGGGACTTCTTAACAGTGTTCATCTTCCATCCCACATGTGGGACTTGAATACAAGACCTGTTTTGCGCGAACGCTTATTTTCTAGACCACTGAGTCGGCATCTTACGGTGCTAATGTCTAGCTTCTTTTATTATAATTAGGTTGAAAAAAGTGTTCACTAAATCAGTCTATTTGGTTTCGAGACATTTACAATGTATGAGTATCATATGTTTAAATGTACCCTTCTAGTTGATTAAAATGCAACACCCAACAGTTGTTAACACATCAGGGATAGAAACAAAGCAAAAGAGAAGAATTTACCAAATTGTTTGATAGCAATGACACGAACAGCTACCATAACCTCCTAACTGTATTTGTAAAAGCTTATTTACGAGTATTATCCAGTTAACCGTGTTGTTTCTTCATTGATTTATTATCAATTAAGTGTTATGCGATCACCTTTTCTATTTAAGGTCAGTTATCACTGTCGCTTTTCTTTTCCTTTTTTAAATGACGATTCAGTCTATAATACTCATGAAATTTATTTTTATAGATCCGTAAATATTTATTATTATTGGATTCCCGTAAAGATCACGTTAAATACTGGAGACTCCAATTACTGTTACTCGTTGCAAATCCACGTTCGTCAGCCTCACTTGTTCAATTTATGAATAGTTTAAAAAAAGGTGGTCTTTATGTAGTTGGTCATGCACTTTGTGGTGATGCAGATGAGTTCGTCGATCAATCGGATCCATGTCTAAATCAGCGTTGGTAAGTCAGCTAATAATGGAACAAGAAATTGTATTACATAAACTGAAATAAATTTCAAAGGTCTCAATTTTGATGCAACCTACTTCTGAGATGATCACACATATGGTAGTGAATAAAACACCAGTGGGGACAATCCAATGTATTTAACAACCAATTACAGAACTAGTTAGTCAAATCAAACAACCATATATTGAATCGTTAATTTGCAAATTGTTCATCAATTGTCTCAAATCACTCAGAATCCCTTTGTTCTTGCATTTCCATACAAATTGCCTTCTGTCTTCATTCTTTATTGTTCGATCTTCTCGTCCCTCTGTTGTCAGACATTCTGTTCAGTGCTCATGTCATATACTACTTATGTCTACATAAGTAGCACATACCACAATATCACTTTGTAAAGTTATTACTTACTCATGCTTGTCACTCCTCGTGGAGAAGCATAGGTCACCCACCATTTTACCCCATTCAACTTTTTCCTAGGCAATCCTTTCCAGTTGTTTCCAAGTGCTATTCATTCTTTTCATGTCTACTTCCAGTTAACAGCGCAATGAGTTCTTTGGCCTTCCTCTTTTCCGTTTCCCTTCAGGATTTCAAGATAGCGCTTGTCTCGTGATGCAGTGTCATGATTTCCGTAATGTATGTCCTATCCGCCTCCAATGTCGTCTCCTAGCTTCCTCTTCTGCTCCAAGCTGGTTTTTTCTCTTCCACATAAGGCTGTTGCTGATGGTATCCGGTCAGTAGACACTGATTATCTTCAGTCAGTCAGTAACAACGTGGAACTTCGTACGTACGTACATCAGTTCGAGTTGCTATACCACATTAGCACAGATATGCATTTGTCAATTCAAATCCCATAGTGGTAGAGGTAGTGAAAGTATAAGTAGTGATAGGGAACATTAGGGTTTGATGATGTTATTTAAAGAGTATAATCCAGTGAAATAGATTTGTAAAGAAAATAAAGGACATGTCATTCAAGATCTCTAACCATCGGTTGTTATCATCTCGCAGATCCCAACCAGGTAGTCTACACCTACCAACATGGTTCAGTCCACTAGTCAGTGACTTTATGGATTTGTGCCATGTTTTAGTCGGGCCACCCCTAACTTTCTTCCAACCTACTACACCATAAAACATCGCACGTCGTGGCAGTCGGTGGTCGGGCATGCGTAACACGTGTCCCAGCCATCTTAACTGATGAAGTTTCACTACTTCATCAATCGACTTGCCATCCTTACCTAGTACCCGTTTCCTAACAACTGCATTGCTTACTCGGTGGTCCCAGGATATACGAGCAATGTTTCGAAGACACCTATGATCAAATACTAGTAACCTACGAATATCCTCTATTCTTACCGGCCATGTTTCACTGCCATAAAGTAGGACGGAACGAACTGCTGCGTAGTAAACACGTCCTTTGGTTACTAGACGGATATCTCGTCTACGCCACAAATGAGGCAAGTTGGCAAAAGCTAGTCGAGCCTTTTGTATTCGTGCTGAGATTTCGTCACACACCAGACCACAAGGGCTGATGAGACTTCCAAAATAAGTGAAGCGGTCGACACGCTCAACTACTTCACTCCTTATCACTAGTTCGGGTGTCGATGCAAACCAATCCTGAAGCAACATTTTGCATTTCGAGGGAGAAAATCGCATCCCGAACATGCCTGCATTGTTGCTTAGAGTGGTCAGCAGACTCTGCATTTTGTCAGCGTCCTCACTAAACAGAACTGTGTCATCGGCATATTCTAAGTCAACAAGTGAATTTCACGGCAGAAGTTCAACTCTTGGAAAGTCAGATGTGGAAAGAGTTATCTCTAAAAGCACGTCAACGACAAAGTTAAACAAGAAAGGAGAGAGTGGACAGCCCTGACGAACACCACTTGAGGCAATCAGTTCTGATGACAGTTTGCCATAAGCTCTCACTCGACCAGTTGTGCTCGAGAAGAGAGCCTTTATGAGGTTAATGTACTTCTTTGGTACTCCTTTCAGAGACAAACACTGCCATAAAACCTCACGATCAACAGAGTCGAATGCCGCCTTAAGGTCGAGAAATTCTACCATTGTGGGGCGTCTGAATGTGTGTCTATGTTCTAGGACTTGACGTAGTGTGAATATCTGATCTATACAACCACGTCCAGGTCGAAAACCAGCCTGGTTTTCTCTAGTCTGCTCTTCACGAGTTTAAGTTAGACGTCGAAGTATTATCGAAGCCAATATTTTATACACTATATTAGTCAAACTAATTCCTCTGTGATTGTCGCAAGAGGACTTTTGTCATTTCTTATAGACTGGCACAATCAGTGATTGAGACCAGTCAGATGGGATTACGTCCAGTTCCCAGATTCTACCTAAGGCCTCAGTCAATCTCGCTGCTAATACTGGACCACCATCGTTAAAAATCTCTGGGGTAAAACTGTCAGGGCCTGCTGCTCTCCTACGCTTCGGATTTCCTATAGCTTTTTCAACTTCGTAAAGAGTCGGAGGACTTACATCAACTTGCCATTCAGGTCGACCGGAGATCGTGGGAAACCGAAGTGTGGCTGAAGGCCAGTTGAAATGATCCCTAAAGTGTTCTGCCCATCGATCCAATCTCCTGGATTGAGAATGAATAATATGTTCATCTTTTTAGGAGATAGTTTCGCTAACAGTTGGGTTCCTAATACCGGTTTTCTTAACAAGTCCGAACAGTTGCCTGCTGTTACCTATTGCCGCTGGCTTTTCCATCTCTCTTGCTTTCGCTACCCACCACTGTTCACGATCATTGCGTAGGCTTCTAGTCAGCTTACGCTTAAGCTAACTCCGCTCTTCGTTATGTTCAGAGCCAGATGGAATGAGTTTCCGAGCATCTATCAGTGTGGTAAATGTTGCTGAGATCCAGTGTTTCTCCTTAACCTTATGGTTTGCCGTACTTGCAGACATCACTGCTGTTTCTACAGCCTTTTGGATGTCATTCCACGCTGCGTCGGGGTGGGCATCACTTACACGGCTGCCTAACTGTTTTTCTAGTTGTTCCTGAAATATGCTTTTAGCTTGACTATCATTAAGTTGGACCCTAAGTGGTTTCCTTGCAGCAGCTTTCCTACGTCCAGTAAGACGTAGACAAATGTAGACGACGTAGACAAGTGTTCATAAATACTTATACTTTTTTATTAATGGTTGTAGTAGTTGTCGAAGTTTCAGCTCTGTACAATAGAACTATTTTGACGTTCGGAATTAAGATTCGGAATTCGGTATTGGTTGTGAAGTTATTCCTTATAGCATTATCATTTTTAGACTAAATAATTCAGTTTAAAATGACTTGAATATTTCCATTGTTGATATTTTAGTTGGAATTTGATCCGCATTGGTTGGCATATGGGTATCCTGTGACGATCGCCTCGATCTAGGTGGGATTGCACTCTGGGACTCGAATCTATCTATTTTATATTACGTTTGATAATGGCTACATCGAAGCAAGCCTCATAGAACCACTATATGCCAACCAATGCAGATCAAATTTCGATAAAAATATCAATAACGGGATGATTCAAGCCGTTTCAAATTAATTTAAATCTCATAGCCGTTTCATGTTCGAAGCGAACGTTTCTAGTTTTGACTTCTGTAGTGAACATCAACTCTGAGATGCAGGCTCATCCAGCAAATGAGTACCAAATCGGATGAAACGCGCATCCCGTATTCCATTACTAACTAATCTGTTGACGTCATGACGTTTTTGAGATTTTTTTCCGAAGATATTCTATATTTATTTTTATACTGTTCAAAGTTTTGAAATCATAATTTAAGTGGTTTGTTAAATTGTGTCACTTTTACATACAGGTATTGGACACAATATGTGAAATATTTGAAAACTAAAGCATTTGTAGAAATAACAATTGACCGAAGTGTACGCAGAGCGATATCACATCTTATTCGAATTTCTGGTTTAGGTGCAATGCGCCCAAATACAGTGTGTTTAGGATTTTATGATGATAAGCCTTCAATCGTAAGTAACTTTTTTCTGCTTTATTCATTCTTCATGTCTCATAACCTACATTATTTATTGGTATGGCACTTTTTACTGTATTATTTCGGATAATTTTCCATATTTGTACAAAAAATAAAATGATATTCAGCATAGATTTTACTAGTTTGATTAACGATGAGCGGTCTGTTAGCAGTTAACTATGCCAATTCATTTTTACTATTAGTGTTACTATCTCTAGTGCCCCGAAATATTTCTGGACGGTTTAATCTCGCCACGCAGTGGAATTCAGCAAGTTGGACCGATGTACACATACATCGGGTTCTACATTGCACATAACTGAGTAACTGATCATATTTGGTATATCTTAGTAGTGAAATATTAATAGATCTCAAATTGTGTGTCTGGCATTCTTTAGATGACAATATGTCAAGGCATAATCAGTCGAGGTATCTTGTGATACTTTGTTCGTTTTCTTTATTAGATGACTTCATGAACAATCGTTTACGTAGTGAAGTTAGTAATTAAAATACTTAATCAGTTAGTTAATCACCAGGTTACAGGTTTAAAAATCATGACACCTGCCTCGGCTTTGATTGGTTTCGTAGTTCTCTTTTACAAATGCAGTGTAGTTCAGCGATGAGTGAATAAATTTTTACTGTCTTGGATAGTCAGTTTTCCAATTAACCAATAATTTTCCAATTTGTTACGCATCAAAACTGATCACTTTTCTTATTTTGATATTTCATATCGATTATTGATCAGTGTTTTATTTTACTTATAGGATGTTTTAGCTAGGATTTGGAAAGAACGTAAAGTAAAAGCATTCAGTTCATGGCCAAATCATATTCATTCATATAATTCCACAGATCTAATCATTAATAATAATGATACCCAAACGACAAATGGTGAGATAATATATATAAATATCTATTTGCTACGCTTTAAGTTTGTTTGAGAAATAAGGTGTTTCTTTAGTTTATTTAGTTGTAGGAAAGTATTTAGTTGTCTTTCATACATCTCCATTTTCTAAGGGGACTGCTTATAATTTCAAGTTTTCCATTAAAGTGTTAATATTTAGAATGAAATTTCTATAAACACAAAGTTTGTTGCGTCTCTGGTGCTTATCAGTCGATTAAAAATGGATTCCACAAACATCAGTTTGCGTAACTTCTTTTCACGAACAAAGCTCCCACAAGGCGTACTTTCAGGGTCGTGAAACCTTAATACCCTGTGCGCCAATTTTAGAGAATGATGCCAGTTAAGTCTGATAGCTTCTGAAAACTTTTGCAGTATTTGTAGTAGTGTGGTGTATGCTAGTTATGCTGATAGATACAAGTAGTGTCTAACTGCAGTCGGAAGTGGAATGCTTACCAGCATAAGTTTAAGTTGAAGAGAACAGAGAGCAATTGGAAAAATCCTGAAGTGTGTAAAGGACGACTGTGTCAGTGGTTTGAATGATTTTCTGTAAATATATTTGAATTCAATAATTCATTAGAAAATGGCTTTTATCACGAATTTGATCATACTCAGCCATCAATAACTGTGGAACTCTGACAACGTATACGGCTGTCGAAATTGTTGAGTCTCATTGGAATCATGAACCAGTCCAAATCACACCATCATTGAAAATGTGGAAGGGCGGAACGACCATTTCATCCTAATATGACGCTCCTCATGTGCTCACTAGTGACTAGCTTCGAGATTAAATTTCAAGCGTTCTAGTAAGGAGCGGTGATCAGTGGAGTTCAAGCGTGTCAGGTGCGAAAGAGTTATCTACCGAAGACAATGGAAAATAGTCCGTCAATATCGTGGATTGATCGCAGCTAGATATTAACACCATCGAATCCCAGAACAATGGTCCAGAAGCTGGGTGTTTGTGCCCGGTTTTTAAGGTTTTAGGTTAGATTCTTGCTTGCGGGATCTTGCATTCGCACTGCTAAGAAGTCCGATTCTAGGCCGAAAAGTCTGTGCTGTGTATCCAGGTTTCTCATGGCGATTTAACATTGATATGTTCAATGATTTACATATGTCGTGAAATTTGTCGTCAAATAATCGTAATCTTCACAATCCTGTAAAGCACGTATATTGGGCTAAAATTATACAAATGTGCTTTTCACAATTTTTTACTAAGCTATTCATCTTTTACTGAATAAACGGTTGTTATTTTGACGTCTTTCGAATAAAACACTTTTTTTAGCTTATTTAAACAGCAGTGAACTACTAGCTAATTTCGGTTCAGTTCCGAGTCAGGATTCAAATTCTATTTTTGTCAATCAGAATAATACAGATAATCAGTTTTATGGTAACCGTCGTTCTGGTCGTCTTACCTCGCAGGAATATGTTAGCATTATTCGAGAAATTCTCAATATGGAGGTAACTTATCTTTTTCTCAACAGTTGTCTTTTCTTTTTAAATGAAATCTATACTACTGAATTATCTAAGTAGCTAAACACATATCAGTTAAAGACGATTTGACATTTAAATTAGTAATAATACTATTTGCTTATTAATATATATTGTTTTTTATTATTCCAACCATGTATTAAATTTTTTTTGTATTTGTTCAGATAGTTTTTATTTTTCAAATCGTAGTTTTGATTGTTTAAATGAAGTTTCATGTCGCCCGTACATTTTGCTCACAGATTCTTTATTAGCCCTGACTATAGTTTTCAAGTATTGAGTGAAATTTAATTTAAGCTTGTTACCTGAAAATAAGTGTTTGCGTCCTACTGAAATAGTAAGTTGAGTGAGTAACAACCCATCTCACTTATCTGTCATCACATGAAATAAAAACGATGTGTAAAGTTTACTTTGGAATAATTATTTCTCAACATTTGTCACATTCATCAATTACTCACTCTCCTAAAATGCTTGGTATATCAATACACACTGTAACTGGAAAATATTTAGATAATTTATATGGAAGTTTGATCTACTCTACGATTTCGTTATTTAATCGTTGAGATCTATGTCCAAGTATTATGGTAAGATCTCATGAGGTATACTTCGGTTAAATAGATGACTATTCTACTATTCTACTGTAAGATCCAAACTAAGGTTTGGACTGAAGAATAGCTGTCTTGGTGGGTTAGATACGCGCCCTTGCCCGTTTGAAACCAAAACAAAGTAATCGGGTGAAATGACGTCTCCAGCTTCCCAGTAAACGCGCGGGGAGGCGGTTTACTTTTGGCAAATGACGCAAACAATGCTTCTGCATCCAAAGCATCTGGATCTTTAGTAAGATTTTGGACAGCATCAACATGCGAATTGAAATCCACGTTTAAATTTTTTTCCGAACAACTTGGACTGTCATGGAAGAGTTCTGGTGGTAAGGATACTGCTTCCTGCATACCCATGGCAATGGATGCATTTGAATTAACTATTTCGATTGAATCCCCTTCCCACTCTCCACAGTCAGCGTACGGATCCCATGCCTCAGACTCAGCTCTACTTTTTCTTTCTGGCAACTGCTTCGAACTGTTGCACAGCACATCATCATTACGGCTTTGTGGTGGAATGATAGCTCGGTCACTAGCGACTGCATCTGTTCTATGTGGATTTCTTTTCTTTGTGCCTTGTTTCTTGAACTTTTCAGGGTGAGAGTTTGAATTTTTGGTGACGTTAACTGGAGGTGATACCGAAACGTTATGTCCTGAGAATTTATCTTGATTTTCAACAAGCTTTTCTAGTTTCTGTTTAGGAGCTTTTTTCTGAGGTGCTGTTGTATCTGGTCCGGGTTCTGGTACCGACTGAGAGTGCCTTGTTTTGCCACGCTTGCTGACAGTTGTGTGCCACTCTTCTGTCTTACCGCAGCGGAACTGATCTAGAACTAGCTCAACTGCTCTCTCAATATTGTTTTCGCAGTCATATAATGCTGTGACTGCCTGGTCTTCTGAACACTCAGTTAATTCTTGAAGCTGAACAACGTAGCACCGGATATTTACATCGTTATCTGGCCTAGATAGAACTTTTGCGATGGTCAGTTGTTCTGCTGTTGCAGGGGGCATTTTAGAGAAGTAGCTAGTATGTCCATTATCAACAACCTCATGGTTATTAACCTTAAGAACATGTTCCTTGCAATTCACCTTACTGTCCATAGTGTCTATGTACAATATGTACAACTAGATTTACTTAGACAAATTAGCAAGCGACAACAACCGACTATTTATACACTAGATTAATAATCTTGTTCAAGTCTATTATCACATGAATGCTTCGAAAAATACAGGTCATTGAAATTATATTTCTAATATACCTAACCTCGAACGTTCGTGATTCGTTTTTTTATGAAACATTGTTATGAACTAGAATCATTGAGTTTGCTAACAATTATTATCTATATATAACTGCAACAATTAGATTTTACGTGTTAACATGTTCATATCTTCTGTTTCCTTTTTTACCAAATTTTTTAGACCAATGTTGTACTTGCTCGAAATTTCGACAGAGTAATTTTTGATGAAGGTATGTCTGGTTGGGACACAACTCGACGCTATTTCCGTAATATTTTCCATACAAATAATCGTTCACAGCGAATAAATTCAAATTATAATAGTGGTTATAATGCAGGTACAGTGATGGATGTTACTAGTTCAATGCCTGAAATTAATCCATATATAGTAGACACTTCAAAAGCTATATTCTTTGATATATGGCCAATCAATCTTCTCGAATTTCATGGTGAGAATTTAAATTTACCATCATCTTCATCACACGAAGGAATTTACAGACAAGTGGTTGATCGTACTGGTCTTTTCCTCTTACAACTTGCCTGTTTAGTCGCTAGATCACCCTATTGGCGTAAACGTCGTCATCCACCAAAACTACGTGCATTTTTTCCACAGTTACGTACAATGAGTCCACCTAATGGAGAGGTTGTTACGGTAACTGACAAAGCACGTTCTCAATTATCAACTTTGTTGAGAAATTTGCGAATTCCTGTAAGTCAACAAGTTTTTTATAAGTCAATGTTTGTGAAGTATTTTTAGTTCAACGCAAACCGTTTTTACCTTATAATGTATTTTGAGCTAATAGCTTCAATCAGTGTCCTGATGTTATGATTTTTTGAAAACTGATTCGAAGGGTTTTGCGTTTAACTCTTTTGGCTCAGTAATCGATAAGAGATTTATATGATATGACTAATTGATTTGTTTTTCTTTTGAAATGGTCGACCGAATTGTTTTTAATTTGATTTGTTTTGCATTTTCTAGTTTTTGATATATTTAACTTGATGTAATGGATGGTTGAAAACATTTTTCTGTCACTCTCAGGTATATTTCGATGATACGTTAATATAATAATGAGACTAGTCGCGTTATATCAGATTCAGGATTCATGACCCAGAATAGAGAACCAGATTAGCACTGGGTAATACTTTATTTTACACAGCTATAAACAGTCATACTCAGTTTGTATTCAGAGAAGAAATCAATTAGAGGAAAGAAAATCTATTATATAATAGTCAGCAGGTTAAGTGCCTGTTTGTCCACACTCAGTGACCAACCACATTTACTTTCATTACCACATATCATAGCTCAGAAATGTTATAGTACGCTCATACTTTTGTTTTATGGTACAAAATCACCAATTTTATATTTTTTAATTGGCATTTACATACTTGTTAACTTTAACGTCTACAGGTGGATTACAGTCATAACTTTTCTGGCAACATGATTTTAATGTAATATCATTAAATTTTCAAATTCTACTGTTTGGTGAATCGTGATAAGTTTAGGAGTGTTGTTTATTTTATCGATAATCATATGTGTTTCTTAGAATGTTGTTTCAGATCGATTTATTGAGCGTACTACGAGTAAAACTGAAGGAATTAAGAATTGAAGTAATTTTTTTGTTCAATTGCTGATCATAGATACCATGATTTTTTCTCCAAGATTTATATTAATCTCATATTTTATTAGAAATTCGTTTTATGGTTTTGTATTTTATATCTTACTACAAATTTCCTAGGTTCTTGTAACATTATCTCCATTTGTTTAGTTCGTTTTGAATGTGAATGGATTTTATAAATATGCATTCAAAGAATATCATTTAATCTATTTGATACATTGAAAGATATTAAAAGATGATGAATTTTAAAAAATATTATTAATAACAACATAGTTCTAAGAAATGATCAACAAAACATTCTGTATTTTACTGTTGAGTATTTAAGCTGCTCAAATTAAAGTACACATTACAAAGTGATAATTTGTAGGTATCATTACCAAGGTTTGATTTGATAATTTCGAATAAATTTGAGCATTGGGTAGATTGGGATATTACAAATATATTATTTATTTAAAAAGTGATAATTGTTTATTAAATGATTATTATTTTATCAATTACATAATCAACAAATAAATTGAAATTTATAATATTCATTATTTCAAAATCAAACTTAGCTTTTAGAGATTCATTAGGTTTCAATTCAAAGTATATTTTACATCTTATTTAATCTAATAAGCTATAAAATCTACAACCGCATCGTGCTCAAATTTTTAGACTACTTCCTCTCCAAATGTCTATTTATAATCTTAAATTTTCATGTTTTATATTTAATATGATTAACAAAACATATTTGATAACCACACATACTAACACACTTTCATAGAATGCCTAAAGCATACTACGGCATATCAATGAGAAACTCTAAGAGTATACCTCCACGATGGTTCGAATATTTTCTCATGCTTCTATATATTTAAGAGAAACGCTAGATGCTTACTACAGAATTCATACATCAAATATAGTATGCGCAAAAAAATATTAATCATAGGGGGCAAAACTGATCGTAAACATTCGTGGTTGATTATGAATTTCAACTAATCACTAATCTCTTCAAATTCTACAAATATTTATCGAAATTAATAATCCAAAAAGTGAACAGGTTTAAGTCAAAGCATATCATTTAAAAATTATTTTCTATGAATTTTGGAGTTCTTTGTCAAATAAAATGAAATATAAGTCACGAAACTTTTAGGCAAAGATGGTTAGTGACTAGCAGTGTAATCCAGAACGCGCGTTTCGTTCTTTTTGGGACTCGTCGGTTGGATGTACTGGTTCACTCCGGAACTCAAACCCAGTACCTTTCGCTTCAAACATCACCCCATCACACAAGCAGGTAGCTATCAGGACTCAGTAGCTAAGTGGATAACGCGATGGTGTTTGAAGCGATCGCTACTGGATTCAAGTCCCAGAGTGAACATCAACTCTGGGATGTACGTACATCCAACCAACGAGTCCCGAATAGGGCGCAACGCGCGTCCAGGATTCCACTGTTAGCTATTATCCATCTTTGCTTAAAAAGCTTGTGATGTAAGGCCATATCAATGCAGTCCGCAAAAGATGCACATATGCCAACATGAGACTGATCAATTGCAGTCCTAAATAATAATGGGAAGTAAAACAACACCAAGTGAATTTAAAATAAAATATATTTTACACATATTACTCAGGGTTTTTTTTAATGTAATTGCATTTTGCTTCTGTCATTTAGAAGACTTTGAGTCGAACTGATTTTAGTAGAAAATTAGTAACCTGGTAAAGTGTTATGAATGGGTAAGTTTGCATTAAATGTGCCAATACCGAGCTGTTTACTAATATGTATAAGTAAGCTAATAATTAAATCTTTCTGTATTTTAAAAAGTAAAGTAAACAATTAAGATATTTCCAATATTTGAAACACATCTTTAAGTTGAATAATTGCTGCGAGATTTTTCTATTATTTGTATGCAGATTCTTTGCTTAGTTAGTATTGTTCTTCTAACACTGAACTGTGTATAGCATATAGCTTTTATTATTATTATTATTGTTATTATCCCAAATCAATACATCAGCATAATTTCATAAAATAGATGATTATTGGTTTTGTAATTATTCTGCAAATAAATTACAACCTAGTAGTATATTTAAGTAACTAGTTTTATCTTAAATCATTATTACAACCTGTGTAAAATTCTTATTCTGATGTTCTCAACTAAAAAGAACAATACAATCTATAAGTAATGTTAAACTTCTATTTTCTTTTTTTTCATTTTACATTTAAATGATTTAAAATATTGTTTATATCATCATGGAATCCATAGTTACGTAACAATTAAAAATTTTCTTTAAAAGAAACATATAGAAAGCTTATACTTTTAAGAATATGTTTTTAATTCGGTTTAATATTAAAACAATAAACGTATAAGTTTGATTGAAGTGTAAACAATAATATTACTTATTATTATTATTATTATAGGTCAATAAAATCAATAATCCTGTATAATAAAATTAATGATAAGATAAATGAAAGATTTAATATAATAAACAAAAGCTTAATTTGTTTTTGTTTAATAAATAAAGAAAACCGTTTGAACTACAAATTAACAATAGATTATATTGGTATATTACAATAAACATTTTATATAACTTTATTAATTATGAAATAAATTAAAACTAATTATATTTATTTTTTCAGAATATGTAAACAGTGTCAAAGTCAAACACTTACATGAGTAATAATAATAACAGTAATTAGTTAAAAATTTGGTTTAAGATAAACAATCACTTTCGACCTAATTAGATGAAATGATAAAATTGATGGTATAGTACGGTCGATTGTCTCTCATCATGAAAACATCACTGTTATTGTTCAATTTTTTTAAAAAAAAAACGATTCAGTAAATTTTCGAGTTTCTACTATATACTCCTGATATTAGACACGTTTAAAGTCTATTAATTATTCTTTATTTATTTGAACACATAAACATTGGTATAATGGGGCACCGAATACATATGCGTCACATGGTAACATTCAGCTATAACGTAGGACCAGGCACATATATGTATCGGTCCAAGTTGCCATACCGCATTAGCACACCAAGATGAACACCGGATCCATAGGAATGGTTAAGTCAATGGTGGTAATATATAAAAGAAAGATTGCATATAAAGATATAGTACAGGAAGAAAGAATTAGTTCGTAGAAAGAAAGATATGAAGTGATTTTAATCTCTCAGTTTAAGGGAAGACAAAGAGTGTATACACCGACCCGATTGTGATCCATTCTAAGCGATGTCACCCAGTCTCCAACCACTGGTTACGATATTCACACGGACCCCAACCAGGCAGTCTGCATCTACCAACATGGCTCAGGCCAGAAGTTAGTGACTTCAAGCACTGATGCCACGTTTTGGTTTGGCCGCCCCTAACTTTCTTCCAATCATCCCCCACATTAGTCATCATTGTGGATCGTGGTAATCGGTGTTCAGGCATACGTAACACGTGGCCTAACCATCTCAGTTGATGAAGATTCATAACCTCATCAACTGATTTACCATCATTCCCTAATGTCATGCGTCTAACCTTACTATTACTTACGCAGTAACAACGAGACCCGTAGTAGTTATCATTGATTTGTGTGGGGACTGTAATACTGTCCGGGTGCCCAAATTGAAGCAGGTGGTTTCCTTAGAATGCCACACCCCGAGCCTTTGACCTGAAGGTTGTTATGTCGTGATAATTATAATGAATGGTAACTTTAGGATCCATTTATGGACTAATACTAAACGTTTATTTTTATCGTATGATTGTTAGATAACTAAACTATTCATATTCCTCTTATTATAAGCTTTATTTTGACCTATGAAACATTATTTTACGTTTTACCATTCTTCAATTATGTCCTGTCTATTAGTCACTGCCTCCCTCATTCACAACCAGATTTTGTTAGTTATAAATTAGATACGAAAGATCCACCATGTGGAGTTGAAACGCTTTGATTCCAAACCAATAGCGCACATGGGCTCCAGAATCCTTAGGGAATGCATTGCATATGAGCTGACTGTTGACCACTGGTTATCATGGGACTTTATTTTAGATTAGATTTATATGTCAAATGCTCGGGGAATCCATGTATTGGTTCGGGCAACCGGGAAGTATTCTAAATAAGATACATATTGAGTGATGATTACTTTGTGCGGTGCCCATGTATTTCGGTGACCCTTTGTACCAATGTTTATGTGTTCAAATAAATAAATTAGATCTCCAGTTGTCAACACTCAGTAATTCTAATTTGCAGTATATTTACTTTAGTTTTCATATTGAAAAAAAGACTATTCATATTTTTGCTTGATTATTGTTATTCTTTGTTTATAGGCAGAAATACATCTGGTTGATATGGATAGTTCAGTGATGAAAAAAAATTCAATGTTGAAGAATATTGATGATAACAGAAGAATAATCTGTTTAAACCAATTAATTCTGTCTTATTGTCATCCAAATACAACAGCTTTATTTCTCTATTTGCCTAAACCAAGTTCAGACTTATCATTAGCTGATATTTACTTGAATCAATTGAATATACTAACCGATACGTTGCCGCCAACATTGTTAGCTCATGGTTTACATGAGGTCACATCAGCTGAATTGTAATGATTTATTCTTAATTTTGTATTCTAATATGAGTTTAAAAATGAGTGAGCAACAACATGCGCATTATGTCAATAGCTAGTTGTTGTTCTTCCTCTGATTGAATTCAATATTAACTATTTGTGTGTTTGCGCATACATATATATCCTTTTTTGATCAATACAGTTTTTTTTGCTAAGTGTCCATGCCTTATTTACTAACGCAACAAGATTATAGTTGCCTTCCTTCAGTATTTTTCCATGTTCACATTTCTATGTATGGCTAACAATTTCAAAGTAATTTTTATAGTCAGTAGTTAGATTCAACCAATCGATCATTACTTTATTAATAAGCATAAACTGAGTCATAAAAGTCTAAGATTACAAAGTGTTTATCATCAGATAAATGATGAAAGTACACTTTTTTATTCATATCTTATCTTACTAAATAAATAATTTCTCACACACATTGTTGGTTGTTTGAAGCCTAAATTTGTTATATTGAGCAATGAAGAAGAACAGTTACAATTCTTTTACTAGAAAAACAGTTTGTTTCAAATGTTAATGCTTACCATTACTTCAATTGGGTGTTTATTTCTTAATGTGAATTAAAAATATGATTAGTCTATGCTGAATTACATATATAAACACACACACGTAAGGCATGATTATGAACAGTCTGTTCATGTTCCAATCATGAATACAATGTGTTTCGTTGACCTAATTGCTATTTATATATGAATTTTGATAAATAATGATGATTAGAGAATAAGAAATGAAATAGAAAATAAAACGATAAACACCAACATCTAAATAGCATGCTGATTTATGAACTTTATTCTTTGTCTTAATGTAATCAACCTAATTACATCTAATCCTTTCTTTTTTCACTTTTCTATATCGTTATGTTTTTGTGATTTTAATTAAATTTATAAATTTTGTGTTCTAATAGATGTGTATTCATTTTTCTCTTCTAATCAGAAATTTCTATTTTTTATTTATGGTCAGCTACAATTTCTTTCTTTTTTTATAAATTACGATAAATACAAATATGAAACGGTTACAACTAATTAAAACATTTATTATAACAGAAATGTTTGTTTTGTTTTTTGCTTAAACGATGGTGTTAGTTATGAGCAATAAGTGATGTTCATATTTTCGTGATACAGATTATTTACTTGACATATACTCTTGTTAATTTATTTTGTACATAGAACGATTAGATCACTGAATTGGCATTACATGGTTTACATTTCTTATTTCAGTTAGTTTAGAATATTTCATGGCAATCGTCGATTACCGTAGGTGATATGTCTCACGTCTGACATTGTTGAATCCATTAATCACGGCACTTCGTATGAACTAAGGAAATCACTGTTCACAGTCAATAATTGTCACGTAGTTTTCTTATCTCAACATAGTTGTTTGAAGGTTGGGTGTTGGTCGCGAGGCTTAAATGGATCGTAAATGCGCACCGGTATATTAAAACATAACAGATGTCCAATGCATCCTGATTTTACATGGTCATTTACCCAATAAAATATGTATAGTGAACTTATTTTAACTTTCACATTATTAAATTACGGTTGGAGTCACTCAGAACTTAACTTATGCATTTGTATTCTGCATTTACACGAATATACAGAAGTTACGACATGTAGCTAGTAACTGTAGTTAGTTTGGATGTAGACATAACATCAGTGTAAGTTAAACTATCACACCATGAATTGGTATACTTCTTGATATTTTCCATTCGAGATACAGTCAACTGTAGCAACCAGACAGTCAAACTACACTGGAAAGTACATACCTATTTATTTACCTTAAAAATAACTCTTGAGAGGTTGTGGTAAAATATGAGTAATGATATTCTGGTAAGATTTTATGTACTGTAAGTACATGTTCACCGAAGCTAGTTTTTTAATGTTATAGGAATTATACTTTCAGATATAAACCGGAACTTTTCGCTTCTGTCTATAGCATTATCATTTTATTCATCGGTATTGTGGTATGGGTTACTTATATCCGGATAAGTGGTATATAACGGTTTTTATTTATTTATTTGAACACGTAAATATTAGTACAAGAGAGCACCAAATATATATGCGTCACACATATATAACGGTGATCAGGCATAGAATGTATTTCAGCAGAAGATCAATAAGGAAAGAACGCAAACGGAATGCAATCTGTATGAAAATGCATGAACAATGAGATCTGTGACAATAGACTGATATTTGCAAAGTGAAGTTTGAGGCGATGAACTGATATTTTGCAAATTAACTATTTACTGTATGGTTCTCAGATTTCAGTGAGATGCTCTGTAATTTCGTGTCAAATACATTCGACTGTCCCCACTTGTGTTCTTGTTCACTACAGTATCATTTGTTATTAGTACACATGAAATTTCAAAAGTGCGTGTCGCTGTATTTGAGACTAACTAAATATACCTGTCTCAATGCTTGTGCTCATAGTATTACTCGGACCCAGCACCTATCAGTTAAACTGCCGTGTTATTCACCGCCAAACCACTGAGTCTAAAGAACCTATAGCTTATTCAAATGGTATGGTATTCATTCTTAATAGTTTCTATTATCATGTGATTGATATTCAGCACTGAATTTTGGTCGGTATAAGTGGATGCTAGGCTGATAGCATCAAAATAGCTTTAGGTTAAAAGTCCCAAAATATATTCACGATAAATCAATGATGTATCTATAAGTAAATTACCTGACTTATTCCGGTAATCGATCATATATATAATGAGTCTTAATTGTGGTTTCTTTTCCGAGAGAAACGATGTTTTTTAATCGAATAACTCGAAGTGAAGAAAATTCATAGAGAACAATTTTTATGAAATACGATAGAAAAAAATCATATAAACAAATAAAATTCAGACTAAATTAAAAAGCACATTGAAATTTAGTTAAACAGGAGTTTTACCGGACTCCAGCAATTTCATATCTTCATCCACCATTAGCTTAACAAGTTCTGTAAAGCCACAAGTTGGTTCCCATTTCAATAATTCTTTCGCTCGAGTGCAATCCCCTAATAAAAGATCCTGTGTGAAAAAATTTACTAATGAGTGCATTATAACTAGGATATTCGTCTAAGAAATGTTTTCTCTACAAAAAATCAAACTTCATACATGTTTTTCTGACAGTATTTAAGTGAAAAGTATCTTTCCTTAAACTTTAAAGTAATCAGAGTCCGGATGAACCGCTATTCAAATTCCCTTCAACTACTTACTGAGTTCATGAATGAATATTTTTTTACATATAGTCTTAGTAGGTGAGTCTGATCGAAGTAATTCACTGACTTCATCACAAAAGAATGGTTGCTAAATTCCCCTCTTTTGTTTTATTTTAACGCAGAAGCTACATATCTGACATTGATATAACTCATTCAAAAAGTTATATTATGATCTGAATGACCGGAGACACAGATCATTTAAATCTGAACAAGCCTGGTTACTGTTCATAGGCAATGTGTTCAATCAAACAGGAACGTAAACTGTAATCTTTGTTGACCACTCTTCAGTACTTGCTGCATTAACAAACAATTACTCTAAATGTATATAGACTAATACCAGTTTTACTAATTTGACATATTCTTGATAAAAAAAACTCCAGTCACATCGAGGTAGTGGTTAGCTTGTGTTTTTCGGAATATAATAAAAATAGAGGAATATGTTTATTTAGAAGATATTGTATCTGGAGATAAGTGAGTCCAGTGTACAGAACAGACATCGAAATCACTATTCATTTTAGAATTTAATCTACTGAATCGCAATTTGCAAATATGTTGATAATGAACTAATGTAGAAATAGATGGAAATTTACTATGCAATAGTAAATTAGCTAAACAAGGGCAATAAACCGACACCTATGAAATACTATACTTACTACTTCTGCAGGACGGAAGTAACGTTCATTGACACGAACAAGAACTTTTCCTGATTCTGAATCAACACCAACTTCATTAAGACCGGTTCCTTTCCATCTAATTTTATTTAGAAATTATTAATTTCAAGCATTTAAAAACACGAAAGATAATCAAACGGAAATGAATATTATGGCCATTAAAAAACAAGCTATATGACTCTCAAGAACAGTTTTAAAAGTCAAATGTCACCCATACAAAACTTCAAGGATGTACCTCAAATTATGGCGCAGCTTCAATCGTTTGGAGAATCTAAATATCTAAGTAAAAACCTACCATGAGTATCTTACTCATGGTAGATTCCTGAGTCTTTTTCTGCTTAAAAACCAACATTTGTAAAAGTATACTGTAAATTAATAAACGGAAGTTTGAAAAGATGCTCTTTCTTGTTGATAAGCGTCTCTATTTGAACAAACCAAAAAATATCCTGTACATTAAATATAAGTTAAAATGGTTTTCGACCTTATTTATTTATTTTAACACATAAGTATTGGTACAAGGAGGCACCAAATACATATGCGCCACATGAATCTCAATTGATTTGTGTGAGGGCTGTGATACTGCCCGGGTGCCCGAACAGAAGCAGGTGGTTTTCTTAGGGGGCCATACCCCGTAGTTCTTGCTTACCGTGTTAAAACTCAGAGAATTACATAATAACTTCGTGAATACGAATGAATGATGTACAGTTAATGATAAATATAATTTTTTAAACCGATTCCGAAATCATATCATTCCAGAAAGGATAACAAGTGAAATCATTAAAAGAATCAACTGCAGAAAAAATGTGAAACTTGAAAAAAATATTATCCCACTAAACTTGATAACGAGAAACTGTTGGTTATCTTATACACATAGGCTAGTTTTACTATTATTCAGTGTAGATATTTAAAAACTGTTTTTTTGTAAGGTTTCAGTAAAATTTCTTAATGCAACTACAATGCAAGATGAAAATTCGAAGAGGGTAAATGATAATAATCACTGGACTGAGTTAATGTATATGTGCTTACGTTAAATGGATTCCAACATGTTCGAAAGCCAAATTGGTAAATTCACGAACAGAATGCTTTTCCCCAGATGCAATAA